TCCCCTGCTACAAGTGAATAACTTGTGGGTGAAATTCGGCAACCCAACCCCTAAATCAGATCTGAAGAGCTAAGCTGAACCGGATGGCTGGTTGAAAAAAGCCGTGAGGCCCCCGATTGATCAGAGGACGCCATTGAACGACCAAAAGTCTCAGCCTCCGACCCGGGGAGTTCGACCTCAGTCCGCTCTCTCTTGGTTCTCAGCAGGGAATGAGTTGGAATGTGGGGGTGGCCGAAAATTGAGTAACTGAGTAACACATTTTGGGGCATGCGAGACAATGCTATTCGTGCCTTTGATTGGCCTGCTTGCTTGTTGGCCGCATGCCCTCTTTAGCAAGCAGGGTATTGACCCCGGCATTTTGGTTTTCTTTACCCTTGCCCCAATGCCCAACTAACATGGAAGAGCAGAACCTCAAAACACCAAGCACACTGCGCGCGTTTTCCCAAGGCAGTCGTTGATCATCCGCCTTCGAGTAACTGTTGTTTTGGCCGCCTAGCTACGTGGGGTTGATTAATATTCCCTTCGGCCCCCAAATGACCATGTGGTCACCCCATGTGGAGGTCTTAGATCAACCCTCACATCATGGTAAGCTCGCTTAGCAGCGCGCTCGACGCCCAAATACGGAGACCAATTCTGAGGCTTCCAATGAAACCCTCGGGCAATTCTGGGGCCTGGACAAACGGCCCATGAGCTCCTTACACCTTTCCGCCACATCGTACTTGTCAAAGCTCTGCACCTAGGCGGCCATGGATCAAAATCCAAATCGTACCCCCAGTGAACATCCCAATCCAACCACTAAAATTTGTCTAAAATGGGTGGTGAATTCACCTACCCCAAAATGGGATCCCAAAACGGTTTTGACACCCGCAGCCAGGCTTCCCAGAACCGGACCCGGCAGTTCCGCGCTCGAAAAAGGGGTCTCCCGCTTCCCGCGTTTGAAATCGGATGGCCCACTTTTCGAAGGGGGAAGGCATTCGCCAAACAAAACGAGCAAAGGCTTTGCGCCGCTGTGCGAAATTTGATGAATCTACTGTGGATGGACAAATCCATTTCGCACCACTTGGAGACCATGGTTGAAACCATTGTTTGCTGGTATTTACAAGGGGAATCATCCTTCCAGGGTCTCTGAGGTGGTGCAGGATTTCGTCCATCCACAGTAGGTGTCTGTTGCGAAGGATAGATGGCACTCACTGGTGTGAACCTGACTCAAACTATCCAATTCATGCACAGGCTGGCAAATGCACCGTTTAGAAAGACCAAACATGGCATATGAGCCAAAGGTCGCATTGATTTTCCCAACTGACCTGTGTTTCTGAGTGAGACCCATTTCTTGGTAACTTACCGTGTCATCCCTTGCAAGGGTAAATGACAGTTTTTGGCCTTTTCTGGCAAAAAGAAGCCACCGGTTTCGGGATTCCGGTTGAGCAACGACAACCGCGGCGATCCCTTTGGCACCAGCCTCATTGTGAAGCCCACCGCCTGAGCCGGGAAGGCTGCTAAGCCTTAAACCTAGTCCGAAGCCCAAACCCGAAAAACCTAAACACTAAACTAAAGCGGAAACTCTTGAACCCTAAGCCTAGAACTGAAGCCAAGACTCAATCTAAACCCCCAACACGAACTCTAACCCTAAGGTCGAACGAACCTAAAGCGTAAACCCACACCGCAAACCAAACCCTACACCTAAACCCAAACCTGAAACCTAGGCCCTAAACCAAGATCTAAGTTCTAAACCTCAAACCTTAAGCCTAGAACCCTAAAGTTAACCCCACGCATGGGTGGTACCACAGCGCCACGCTCGAACAGAACGCAGCTCTGCACTGGCCATGGCTGCACTGAAAGGGGCCATGCTTGGGCCAGGTGGTAGTTGTGGGGACACCCCGACCACTCCAGTAAAGCTTTGGTGATCCAAGAGTTAGGTCCTCCAGATTTGAGAGGTTGGAATCAAGGTTTCCAACCTTTTTTTCTTAGTAGCTATCTTAGTAGGGGAACCCAATAAGGTTGGAATAAGGGTTTTGTCTATCTTAGGGGAACCCCAAACCCGCAGAAAGGGGTGAGAGGCCGGGCACTACTGGACCCAGGGATCATTTTTCTCGCAGGGCGAAGACCGCAGCAGTGGTTTCACGGCCATGTCCCCACGATGTCCACGCCCAAAAAAAAAACACGACAGCAGCGTGGCTGATGTCGACTTGGTGGTGTCTGTCGTTTCACTTTGCGCAACAAGCTGACAAGAAGCAAGAACCAACTGTTCGCGAGTTTCTGCAAGAGGGTGAGCAGCGACGCAGAGGGCATGCGCCCTGGCCTTGTGCTGCTGTTCGTTGTCTGAAACTAGGGTGAGCCCTGAAAACTGGCGTGGAACCCAAAGCCCACTAAAACTTATGTTACGTCCGAAGGCAACCTGGCGTTAGCTTCCTTCTGGTTGAGAGAAAGCTTTGAGAACCCCTGTCAGGGCCTTTTTGGGTCCGGAAGCTGCAGCCAGATCTGCTGTTTGTTCCTGCTGTTGAACTTCCTGATGGTTACAACATCCACACCGATCGGCAGCGGTACAGGGTTTCATCCACCTCTGCTGTGAAGTTGATTATGTGCACCACCTGGCGGATTAATGCGGGGGTGGTTCCTCCTCCAGTGAGCAGTCTGATGTATGGACGAAATGCCACATTGTTGGAGGTCCTGACGTCCTGAAACCTGTCCAGCAAAGTGTCAAGCTTGGAAAATCACGCTTAGCGATCGGGAATCGTCAGAGTTAGAATGCACAAAAATAAGCCAAGCCAGTTTGGCCTGCAACCTCTCCCATGTGGGTATGGGTCAAGATTAAACCACCAGGCGACCGCAGGTTTTAGTCCATGTTTCCATTTACCAGGGCAAGCCATTTTGAGGTTACCCTATTTTTGACCCTCTCCCATGTACGGCCTGAAATCCTCCCACTCCAATCTGCCTTCCCCGCCTTCCCATTTCTCCCTCCCAGGTGCCTCCGAGGCCTTCTGGCTCCATGCAGCACCGCTTTCATCCGCCGAATGGCGCGCGAACGGAACTTCAGACTCGTGGCGCTGGCTGGGTTGCATGCAAATGACAAGGCGTTGGCATGTGGGGATTGATCAAAAGGTCCGTAAAATATGGGATGACCATTGCGGAAAAACAACCGCAAAAATATTATATATATATATGTATCCCACATGGGAAAAGATACCTATGGTCATTTTGGGCCAGGATTGTTTATCAACGCCCACGTGTCAGAGACCATAGGCTGAGTCGTGATGCCATGTGGATTGCCTCTAACGCAGACCCATGGAGCGGTTGCAAATCGATTGCAAAAAAGACATGTGGCGCAACAGTGGTGGCTGGCTACTCTGTGCTGGCTGCTGCCGCCTTTCTGTTAGGAGCCTTGACTCTTGACTGCACTACTTGACTTCATCAGTAGCGTAAGCGGCTCCAGTTGTCAGAGCGGCTGGAAACACAGCTATCCTCCACTGCCAGCGCCAACTTTGGGTGACCCTAAAGGGGTTCTAATAAATGAGTTCTCACACGGTCAGAAAGTCCTTTGGCACAAGCTGGAACCCTTTTTTGTTGAAACCTGTTTAGGGTCCCCTGAAAATTTGCCTTGATACTTCCTCTGCGCGCACCTGTTGTGTACCGATTCGTCAACTCAAAGCGCACGTGAGAAAGGCAAAGAAAGAATCCTGGTTGACGGTTGCTTGGCCAAGAATTTGCCGGGATGTAAATACTGTGCGCATAACAAATATACACATCCCTCTCCAATTTCCAGCTTCCCCTGTGATCTGCGTAGCACCCGACTGCCTGATGATCAAGCGCGTTCAACGTTGAAGTACTGTTAGACCCTCCCTTCACCACTTGATGCATTGGTACGGAGACTCACGTGGCGTGGCATCGAACATGACCAGTGCATCTTATCTTCTACTATACTTGGTTGCTTTCTGCTCCCCTGCTAAAAGTGAATAACTTTTAGTGGTTTAGTGGAAAACACATTAGCCGGCAAAAAGTTCAAGTCCTAGCATCCAAGCAAAATGCACCAACGTACACAATCCGCCCCAGCTATATGTTAGCAAACAACTAGTCCACCTTCATCCGGACGCACCCTACGTTCTTGGTTCCTGAGTCGTTCACGAAAAGGAACAACACGGTGCTGGTTAGGAACATCACGTGAAACTTGCCAATCTTTGTTCAGCACAAACACATTGAATCCAGCATGGAAAGAGAAACAAACCCCCAGACCAAGGCTCGAACAGCCAAATGTGCCTTTCTCTTGACAATATGTTGAAACATCACGACATTCGATCATGTTGCAGATTGACCAGCCAAGGCGCATTTTAAGCGAAGCGATGCTTTGTTGGTCTGATAGCATCTTAGCCGCGCTCATTAACGGCCTCCACATCTCTGGGTGAGGGTTGACGTCGGAGCATCTCGATCACCCGTGTCAAGATCAAATGGAACATGGGCCCCGTGGAGTGTCCCAAAGACCAAACAAATGGGTGTGGCTCAAAACTAAACCGGCGGGGATACGCAGGTCTGGTCCATTTCCACTTACCAGGGCAACCCATTTTGGTACCGGGTTTTTTAAGCCATAGCCAAATGAAAGATTGACCTCTGAAACATTCTATCAGGAAGAGATCCTCACCCGAGGTGTGCCTAAAAGGTGCCAAGCGCCCCCTTCAGATGGTGTTCGCGGCTCGGTCATGGGAGCGAGCGGCTCGCCAGACCAACTCCAAATCATTGGGGAAATCCATGGTTTTTGCCGTGGGGCCCTGGTTCGTTGGGAAGGTCGTCGCAGGATTCCCTGAGAGGCAGTACAGGGAATTCAACACGGGACAAGTGCAAGCGACAACCACTGCGTGACATTCTTCGGACAAGGGGGAGGGGCGGAGGAGCGGGGAGGGGGGCAATCCTGGACTCGCACTTCCCTGAATTGGGTGTGGGTCAAAATTAAACCAGGAATTGGACCGCAGGTATGAATGTCCATGTTTCCAATGACCAGGCCAAGGCATTTTGGGGGTTACCAGCTATTTTCGACTCACAGCCAATTCAGCCTAACCAAAAAAAGAAGAGCCATCCCCAGCTTGGCTCCGAAGTCCGAAGCCTGGGAAGACACACCCAGCTTTCAGCTGGGCCTGGGGAAGTGCACGAGAGGCTCGATCACTGGGCCTTCAGAAGCCGCTCTTCCAGGTCCTCCGGAACTTGGAGGGGGCCAAAATAAGAGAGACTTGAGTGCTCTATCTAAAAATCGAAGCGCCCTATGGCTTTGACTGTTGTTTGTTTGCTGTTGTTTGTTGTTGTTGGTTGGATTGTTTTTGCGCCAATTGTTGTTTGCTTGTTTGATTGTCTGTTTGTTTGTTTGTTTGTTTGTTTGTTTGTGTTTGTTTGTTTTTGTTTGTTTGTTTGTTTGTTTGTTTGTTTGTTTGTTTGTTTGTTTGTGTTGTTTGTTTGTTTGTTTGTTTGTTTGTTTGTTTGTTTGTTTGTTTGTTTGTTTGTTTGTTTGTTTGTTTGTTTGTTTGTTTGTTTGTTTGTGTTTGTTTGTTTTTGTTTGTTTGTTTGTTTGTTTGTTTGTTTGTTTGTTTGTGTGTGTTGTTTGTTTGTTTGTTTGTTTGTTTGTTTGTTTGTTTGTTTGTTTGTTTGTTTGTTTGTTTGTTTGTTTGTGTGTTTGTTTGTTTTTGTTTGTTTGTTTGTTTGTTTGTTTGTTTGATTGTTTGCTTGCTTGCTTGCTTGCTTGCTTGTTTGTTTGTTTGTGTGTTTCTGTTTGTTTGTTTGCTTGCTTGCTTGTTTGCTTGTTTGTTTGTTTGGTTAGTTGGTTGTTTGTTTGTTTGTGTCAAACCAACCGGGTGCCTCCCAAAGTTGATCCTCAGCCAACCTCTCGAGGTGGAGAGCAAGTCCTCCAACTACTCGGACAGAGAACATCTCACTGCACAATGACTGCCAAGGGAAAACCGATCTTGGAAGGGCAAAAGCCCCCTTTGGCCACGAGAAGATGGAAGAGGAGGCAACGCCAAAGCCAACGTCAAACAACGCCACCCAAAAAAGGAGGCTGGCATCAGTGCATGCCGGAGATGGCAAAACTTGGCGCGAGCAGCGAGCAGACAAGACCCAAAATCCCCTGTGGATGTCTGTTCTGCTTGGGCCTGGAGTTGGTGTCATGGCAGCTGTGGACTCTCGCACAAACCCTTCTTGGACCTTCGCCTCCTTGCGCGGAGTGCGGAGCGTGAAGCCCGGGCACGTTTTTTTCGCGCGTCGCCCTCTTCGCTCAGACGGAGCTTTTGGCTGATTCGATTTCGCTTCCGACCATCTTGTTCCTGATCCATCTTGTTCCTCGGGGTTCGTCCGGATTGGCAGCCAACGGTCGGTTTCGTCGCCGTTGCCTCGGCGCCACCTTGACATCGCGACCTCGCGTTCTTTGACTCGGCGCGCGCCGAGATTGGCGCCGGCCGCTGGTCGAAACTACGTTCCTTGCTTAGAACCATGTTCTATGTCTTCAGTCCCTCGAGGTCACTGCTGCGCTGCTATCTTGAATTCTTGAATGGTGTCTCTTGGCTCCCCCAAAATGAAATCCCAAAAGGAAGATCAAAGGAGCATACAAGCTGCTTGAAACCAAGGCAAGATGTAAATCCAAGCGCGTGCCCTACAAGTACATCTTATGTCAGGCTTCCTTCCCACATCTCTCAGTGTCCTGGCAGCCTAAGGCTGTGAGGAAAAACGGGTGCTTCCTCGGCGCGATCTCGCGGCGCAAGTCGCGTTCACAAGCCCATAGGGCCAGCCCCTTGTTCTTGCGATTTTTTGAGTTCCGCGTGAGTCTGGCCCTGAAATCATGGAAGCTGATGGTTGGAAAACCATGGGATGGGCCCTTGATCTGTCTGCCAGGGCAGTTGGCTACCTGTGGTTCCTCTCTTTGCGGTTGTGGCTCCACACGACGCCGCTGCAAGTTTTCCTGAACAGTTGAGTTGCAGTTGGCTCAAGACTTCATATGTTTCAAATGCCACACATTTGTTGCCGGTCAAGCGCTGCAATTACGGTTGAAAGGGAGGGGGATCATTCGAAAAGGTGCTTTCCTGAAGAACGGTTTTACCGCCGCAGGGGATCAAAGCCCTGTGCGCATGGCTTGTTTTCCCATCCCGGTTTTCCCTTTCCATTGCCACATGCCTTGGCTGATTCGGGTCCCTATGGTCCACACCTTTGGTGCAAACCAAAGGTGCCATTTCTTGGGTTGGCAATATAACCTGTGGGGGGCTGAACTCATAAGTCACTTAGTCTGCAATTCGGTTGCGATGCGATTTCCCTACGCCCAACAAATATTGCTCTACCATGATTGTGTACCCCCTCAGCAGACAAAAACTTCTGTGGACTGCTGTACTCTGGCTGATCCTACAATAGCACACCATTTCCTACTCTTGCTAATGTGAACTCCAGGAATCCGACGTGTTGTACCAAAAACAAGATGTAATGTGGGCTCGCAAAATATGCATTAGTGCAGAAGTTCAAAGATGTGGCGAGGACTACTTCACTATGGTGGCCGCCATACTTGTTGGCTGTTTTGTCACTGCCGTCAATTAGGAACCCCCTATGATTTCGTCGACCGCGACAGGCTGGTTGTCTGTGCATGTACCTCAAGTGAGGGAATGTCCTGGCTTGTGGACAAAAAGCTGTTCATTATCCGCCGACCCCTTCATCCCAAAGGAAAGGCGCCTGGAAAGGGTGACACACACGCAAACACACACACACACACACACACACACACACACACACAGACACACGCACGCATGGAAAGTCAACACTCCGAATGAGGCTCCGTGCTATGCGCGTCATACGTGCAAACCGCGGATGTATTGAGGTTTATTAACTATACGAATACAGGATTTGATTGGTACGTCAGACTCTGCGCAGACTGCCTTTCACCGTTTTGGAATCAGAACCTATTGGTGCTTGGGAGATATGTGAATCTGTTTTGGGCAGTCTCTGGAACTCGATTCCACCCTGGGACAGTCTTAAATGGTCGACACAACCAGCATCATAGTTTGGAGTCAAGACAAGAGTTTTGCGTTGACTAAAAGCAGATGGCGTGGACACCTGCTCCCAAAACGGGCCTCACCTCTGTCGAAATTCACAAAAATAAAACACTGGGAGGAAATTGGCTCAACATGGGAGGGGTCTGATGTTAGGATGGAATTTGGAGCAGCCTAGGGCCCGAATGTGGGTTTGTGGTCTATAATGATTCATTAAGCAATCCAACAGTATGAAGGCGTGCTTGAGAAAATTGCGCGAAGTCTGGCAAGGGAGGCGGCACTTACTTCCTGAGTGGATGGGCCACAAAAGGTCCTGGGTTTCTCAATTTACTGCTAAAATGGTCCAAACCCAAAAAGTGACTAAAGTCCAAAACGGAACTCAGGAAGCGAGCCACTGGGTTGATTCGTTCGCTTTGGCTGAGGCCCCTGGCTTGATGCGCTTGTCCGCCAGACGACTGCGGAAGCGAGGCCTCAAGTTGCGTGTGCGGGGGCTTAGAATTTGCTGGCTTTTGAGTAGTGAAATACCCTCCCGACTGACATGGCAGTGCACAGACCCCTGTAGAAAAACGACTTCCTCTTGGAAAGGGGGGGTTGTGCACTTCCATGCTAGTCGGTGGGAGGGCTTCTAGTCTATTTTAGTAGGGTTGAACCCTCCCTTCCTTCCCCAAAAAAGGGGTTAAGTTGGCACCACTCGCTGGGGGACCTAGACCGGCAAAACCCACCCACTTCCCAAAACCACCCCGAGGCATCCCATAAATCCAGAACACCCAACCCCCACTTCCCAAAAGACCGAGCCATGGTTCCTTGGGAGCTGCGAACCGCTGCGGATCGCACCCTCTCCCCGTTGCCGAATCCGAGCCAAGGAGCTTCGAGGGTAGGAGCTTCAGGAGCAGGTCCACTGCCTCGCGTCGAGTCTGCAAGCGATCGAAGTTTCAGGTAAAACAAAGGGATACTTTAAAGGGAAACGACTTGTTTTGTGCGTTGTTGTCTTTTTCTTTTTCTTTTTCTTTTGGGGGGGGCGGGGAGGGAAGGAGGCGGGGGAGGCATCACTACCGCTTTGTTCGTGAAACAAAAGGGGAAAACCAGCTTTTTGTTGGTGAAACAAGAGAAACCTTTTTTGTGAAGCCAAAGGCAAACCACTTGGTTGAAACAAGAGAGACCACTTCTTGCTTCTTGTGGGGGGGTCCCTGACAAGGGTTGACAGGTGAAGTGTAGGGGAACACCCCAAAGCCAACCCCCTGAAGTGGAAGGAACCTTCTCCAAAAAGGTAACCGAACTCGAAGAATCCCAAGAAAGCGAAAACAACGACGTCTCCTGAGTAACTCAAAACAACCCCAAAGGTATAAACCCTGGTTTAAACTGCATGGGACAATGACTGCGCACCCTCTTTTTCATTGAGTCACAACGAATGGATGCTCGATCGATTAACCAACGAGAACACGAAACGGCTTTCGAGGCGGTCACCAACTGTTTGACCCACACACACACACAGACAAACTTACACATGACACACATACACATGACATGCACATACACACATGACACAGACCTCAGTTGCCCAAAGGACCTGGAACTAAAAGTTAACCTTTTGGGGCCATGACTAAATATTGACCAACATGGGAAAACCAAAAGGTCAAAAGGTCGGCTTTGAACAACTGAGAGATATGTTCACATTTCCGTATGCGCACACCGCCATGGGCTCGATTGAAACACCAAACTTCGGCCGAGGCGTGCCTCGGGCATCAAGCGGCTTCCTTCACAAGCGTTGTGCAGCAGCTGCGCTTGCTCCTGATCCGGTAGCCTCCGAGCGGAGAAAATTCGGCTCAATGGGGGGCTAGGTCCTCCAGTAGAGAGGTTAGAATAAAGGTACCAACTTTTTTTCTGTAGTTTATTTTAGTAGGGGAACCCTCCCAACCAAAAATGGGGTTAAAAGCTGGCACCACTCGCTGGGGGACCACTCGTGGGTGTCTGGGGAAGCCCCAAAAATGGCTCGATTTCCTGTTGGTCCCCGAAGCCCAAAAGGGAGATCCTCAAACCCGAGGGATGGGCAGAGGTTCCATGGCTTTGGGCAAGTCGGCAGAACAAACAAAACCAAAATGTTCAGGCCGTTCAGGAGTCAATGTTCTAGCGTTTAGAACATGGGAAAGATCCGACACCTACACAAAGCCAAATACATCATGGCAAGAATGGGCAGTACTATCATTACTCCCTGAAAGCACAATGCACGCAGACATAGTTCTTAGACTTGCAGGGTGATCTTGAAACTACTGGCAATTGCTGCAATGCACTTGTGGATATGGCTGTGGCTCAAAAAACGGAATTCCAAAGTGGGTTGCCCTAGTAAGTGGAATGGACCAAAACCTGCGGTTTGCCCCTGCTGGTTAATTTTGAGCCACACCCATATTGAGTCATCAATCAAAACCCGGTATAAAATGGTCTACCCAGAACCATGTAAAGAATTAAGAAGGCGGCCGCAACTATTTCTGGCTGGGACTGCACCTTACTAACCTTCATCTACCCGGATTTTGATTGTGGCTCATATTAAGTCATCCAAAAGCCTACTAGCGAGTACGAAATAGCCTGGCCAGCACTGGTGTCAGCAGCTACCGGGACCTTTGTTGTACCAGGCACAGCCCTGCCAGCGACTTCTTGATTTGTTTGGAAGCAGCATAGTGACACATCGAAACGCATACACACAAACATATAACACACACACACACATACATACATATATATAATATATATATATATACACCTTCAAACTGTGATCATCCATATCACAAGCTCACTATGGAACTTGAGGTGATGCCGAGCAAGAAAACTCCACAAGAAGTCCGACCATGATTGCATAAAATGCCCGACGGATTCCCTCTCTCAACAAACCTCGGTTGCTTTCGGCTCCCCTGCTAAAAGTTTAACTTTTAGTGGTCTAATGGAAAGCCATTAGTTGGCGAAAAGTTAAGTTAAAGTCCTAACATCCAAGCAAAACGCACCAAATAAACCCCATTCGTGTTATGGCCTAGCCGCCATACCCAATGCACTACCCGGGACGCGTAGCTAGTATACAGGGACGCCATGTTTCCCTTGGAACGGGGACGAGAACTATGGCTCATCGCAAGAACCCGATCCGCACCCTGTCCAAAAGCACCTATATTTTTACATGTAACATGATGGATCAAATAGAATCACAACCCCATCTGAACGAGCCGCGTATGGTCATGAAAGCGAAATATCGTACCTAAGACCCTCCTAGTCCTGTCAAACGACACGGTTTTGCAGCATGGTGGGACGGCAATGTGCGACTTTTGGATCTCCAAATCCCGGCCATGCGATGTCCCAACCATCCGCTGCCTGCGTGGCAGAATCCACCTTGCGCAGCTTTTGAGAGGGTGAAGAACCAGCCGCTTTTGGTTCTCTCGGGATACTTCCTACCCAACCTCCAGACCTGATGTGAGTCGCAATCAAAACCTGGTACTACAATGGTCTACCCAGAACCCTGTACAGGATTGAGAAGGCAGCCGCAGCTATTTCTGGTGGGGATCGTCCCTTGCTAGCCTTCATCTACCCGGGTTTTGGTTGTGGCTCATGTGACATAGTCTCAAGGACTACTTGAAGAACAACCGCGCGACCAGAGACTTGAAGCATAGCAGTTGGGCGATCTGGGTCGGGACATGTTTGGCTCGCTTGTCAGGGCGTCGCTCAGGTTCATTTGCAAACGAACCTGAGCGACAGATCTCGCTGTTTGCTTAGCCAGCCGTCTGTGCTGCCATCACTTCGAGTTGCTACTTGACAGGCTTGTGCTGTGGGGGGCTCAGGAATGTGATGCCGTTGAGCTCTTGGGAACCTTGGGAATCGCCTCGGGATTCGTCTTGGGAATCGCCTGAAAAAAGGGAACTCGCCTGGCAAATCCTTGGTTTTAAGCAGCTAGTTCGGACACAACCACCAAACAACCAAACCATGTGCCGCACAAGAACAACACATCATACGCTGCCAACACAAAAAATAATCATCGATCGCACACAAATTCACAATACGGTCACATGAAAGGCGGGATTGAACACACGCATCATTCTTGCCTTGGTCATTTGAACTTCGAGGCTTGTTGCTTGAATGCTCTCAGTTTTGCTCTGGCTGCTAGCTGGCAGGATCATTGCAAATAGGCCGATTGAAGTGTTCCTCGTCGAATAACCATGGTTTGTTCATTTTTGGTGGCCTGGCACCAACTTCTACACGGGCCACCCATTCTTCAGCATGGACATATCCAACGTCTTCGCGGTTTACTTGAACACCACCTGGTTGCCCAAAGTGGGGGATCATGCTTGACATCAAGTAACTGGGTGGGGGATTTGAGCAATGGTAGCCTATACCAAAAAAAACCCTTGGAAGGGAACATGTGACAACTACCTGTCACGCATGTCGCATTTCACGTTTTGTGCTTGGCAAGTCGAAGGTCCTCAGGTTCTTCAGGTCTCAGGTCCTCAAGGTTTTTGGGGCCTGGCCTGGGTCACAGCCTTAGGTCTTTTGGCGCCCGACTCCACACCCGACCCAACTCGCACACCGACCAACCCGCGAAGCCAACTGAGCTCGGCACAGGCATCCGTCGCCCTCCTCCAGATCCGCGCAGTCCTCCCCCAAAAGCATCACCTGCAGTGTGACGCCGAAGCTGTACCTCGCGTCGAAGCTGAAACGGGGGAAGCCGGACCTTTCTTGAGGTACCTGTATATTGCCTGTATTTTACAACTGCGGGTTTGCTTGCTTATTCCCCAACAGCTGAAAGCTTTGGGGTCTCAGCCCAGATAGGCTCCGGGGTGGTCCGGGGCGGCCCTGAGGTAAGGTTCCACGAGGGTTCCACGAAGGTTCCACAAGGGTTCCACCAGGGTTCCACCAGGCTTCCACCAAGGTTCCACGAGGGTTCCACGAGGGTTCTGCGAGCTTCTGCGAGGGCTGCGGGGTGGTGCGAGCACTAAAAAGAGCACCGCGTGCTGTTGGGGACATCACCCGAGCGGATAATTGTTCTTTTTAGTTTTTTTTTTTTGGGGGGGGGGGGTCCATGTTACAACAGCGTTTTGTTTTGGGGGGGTGTATCGTTTTGGGGGGAAAAAGGGCAACTGCCAATTTTGATGAGCCTGCTTTTTATTTTTGGGGGTAGGCAAAGGGAAACCGCCAATTCTTAGATGAAGATTCCCGATTCAAGCAAATAGCCGCCAACAACCGGGGGGGGCCGTGGTTACTTATTCCAGCGAATCACTGGTTGCAAGTCATGCGGGCAAGATATGATGATTCACAAGACTGAAGCAAGGGAACCCCCTCCAGGAATCTTCATGGGCCGGTCGCCAAACCGCCTTGGTGAACTCGCAAGATGTGTTGTTCCGGAATTGGGACGCACGCAAACCAACTACCCCAGCTCCAACACCCCTACACCGTCGGCTAGATGTCAGCGCCCCAGGTCACCATGGACCCCATCACCCAGCATGAGCCTAGCAACAGCTTCCATTTCAGGAAGGAATGGGATAAGGCATGGCAAGTATTTTGTTGGGCCTTGGCTGTGCCCCGAAAGTCCTTGTAGAAGGCTTCATGCACTTTCGGCTCCAACAAACGTGTGCATAAACCTGAGTTGTTTTTTTCTGTGTGCAGCTAGAAAGAAAGCATAGCTGATTGCCCGGGCTCAGGGGCCTTGCATTGCATCATCAAGTGCCCCTTATGGCGCTGTGCGTTCCGTGTCATATTCCTCTTGACTCTTGATAGTGTGTGTGTGTGTGGCTCCTTTGTATCTCTTCGTGGCTGGCACCAAATTCAACCAGATACTTGCTGAGACTTGACACCTCTGGTATTGGTCTGGATTTTAAGTATGTGTTGGATTGCTCACAAGGAATCTGCTTGAGACTATCATGTGCCCAGTGCGTGTTAAGCATTTGTACAAACCTATGATCTACCTTGGCCAACTTTGGGGCAAGACGACTTTGTCGCTTTGACGGGGATTCCTTGAAAATCGCAGAAAGTGGCCACCACCCCCAGCCCCCAAAATACCACCGCCCTGGCGCACGCATCTGTCTTGAAGGGGTCGAAGCGGACATCTGGCACGCCAGGGGGGTCACCTGGCGCATTGAAGCGAGACAGCTTAGCCTATCCCGAAGGACCACGCAATGCAAGGAGAACACAGATGAAAACATACGGAGGCAACACGAAAGAGGGGAACAGCGCGCCGGGAGGGTGCTTAGTGAACTAAGCACACATTTGTTTGTTAAGGGTGCCAGATTGCACACATGCCCAAGGGGGAACTGGCCAGCCCAAAATGGAAAAGCTTTCTTAGAAGCAGCACCCCTCCAGTCCCTACATACCAGGGCCTCGCTTATGACCCCAAGTGACCTGGCTTCAGCAACAGGTCACGTCAAGGTACAGGGAACCCATAGAGCATCCACTTGGATTTGTCTTGAACATTAGGGAACCCCAAAAATGGTTGTTTTCCTTTTGGTTTCCCAGTGCTTCCAAGTCACAATTGGGCCATAGCTCACACGCGCTTGCATGGGCCGCTTGGCATGAGGGAGGCCCATGCGCAATGTCCTCATATTCTGATCAACACTCACGGTGATCAGCACTTACGGAACACATCCACACGTCACCTCCTCCCCAAAAATTACAGAAGTGATCACTTCCTGAGTGGATGGGCAAAACAAAACACACTAAGATAGTCTTCCCAAAGAATTTAAGTGCAGGAACTTAGGAAGTGAGTCATCTATTATTAAAACAACTCCACAATACCGCGCAGCATGGCAACAAAAGAGCTCTGAGAGAAGGTCCGCAGTGGAAAGCTCGCAGCTGAACTCACATGGGCCCTTTGGACACCTCTTTGCACACTTGCTAGGCGCGCACGATGGACAAAGGCCAGAATCAGCCTCCTCCATTCTTCATCGTTACTTGGTTGACGTTGGAAGGGGAGCAACAATTATCAATTTTTAGCAGTTCAGTGGTTGGACTTCAACCACTAAACCACAAGCAAAAATGTTTCCTAACAACAACCATGGTTAAGTGCTGGCTACAACTCTTTTCAGACCACAAGACTACAGCCTCCAAAAGCTGCCAACAGCCACCGGGTAAGAAGCTTCGTCCGAGTAAGTAGCTTATAGCCTTGTTGTTCAGGAAACAATTCCGAAATCCCCTTAAGGACGCGAGAGCAGCAAAATAACTATAACCAACTTGGCACATAGGATGCACCTCCCAGCATGTGTGGGATTCACTTTAAGATCAAGGGGAAAATAAAACGAATTCTTCCCTTGCTGGTGCCGAATCGGTAGGGGCCCTGAGAAATGGAATCAACCCAGCTGCTTTGGTCCGTTTAAAGGAGACCACCAGTTTTGTAGATTCGGGCCATTTCATTTCCAGCCAGCTGCCTCTCTCGAACACACCAGCAAATGGAAGTCGTTGACATCCATAGGCGTCCTTTTTAGGTTACTTTGGATAAAATTGGATGGCACTGGTTTAGATGGGTTCTGTTCCATTTACCAGGGCCATCTATTTTTTCCAAAAGGCCACCTACGTTGACATCGGTTCACCTCGCTTGCCAGGCCGTGCGCCCCGGGCCTTCGTCCTCTTCCTCCCCCATGACCAACTCCGGCGCGAGGAACCTCTCCGATCGATCGACGATCGATCGGTGGGACCCAAAGGCGACTGAGCTGGCGCTGCTTCCTCAGCTGCCCAGTGGATTTCTATGGGAAAAAAAGAGGCATCCGATTTTTGTTGGTTGGTGGACTTTAAAGGGGGATCCCTTCCCCCCCAAAACCGCATCGGATGTCGCGGGGCAATGGATGGTGCTCAGCAGAGTGTACAGGGGCTGAAAGTCCCTCTGCGGCGAAGTGCTGCACATCTTTTGGTGGATCTGGCCATATGCAGATGAGTGTCTTGGCTTTCCGAGCGGGCTGCCGTCACTTGCGGGCAAATAACAGCATGCTCCTAGACTTTGCGATGGCAGACATGTCTAGTTGTCCAAACGTCCAAGACCTGGCTCAAGAAAATTGCGGGGGGGGTCATCCAAAACTGGTGCGGCTCACACGGGAAACTCGGGAAGTTTTGGGAAAAGCCCGCAAAGCCACATCAGGTGCCCAAACTCCTTCAAACTGACCGGAAGGAAGTCATGAAGCCAAACCAACAAGTTGACAAGCACGAGTCCGTTGGCGCAAACCCAGCCAGCTGCACAAGAAATGGAGTACTGATTATATATTGATGTATCAATTGCAACATGCTAAGCTTGCCAGCAAATTAGATTGCCGAGCACGGGCAAGTCAAGCCACATTGTGTGTTCCATCGCAAGGAGATACGAAGGCAGGGATACTTGGTCAGTGGCAAGCATTGACTCCTTCTCGAGAAATTCATGGTGCCGTTTTATGTGAGGATGCACAGGGGTAAGCACGAGTCCTGCCCCGTTGCCGAAAAGCAACATATCCAACAAGATTCATCAGCCCAAGTGTCTGCAAGGGTGTTTCGGGCGCACCTCGGCGTGCCAGCGATGGGGATGCAATGCGCCTCAGCATCAAGCCGAAACCAGGAAGAGGAGTGTCTCATAGCACTACCCTCAGCAGGATTCCCCCCCCATCTGTTGGGTGTTGCTTCCCATAGTGCGATTAGCAAATCTTCGTCTTGAACGTGAACGCCTGACATGCAGACTTGCGCCAGATGTCTATGGTCAGGCAACTGATCCGCCACAAATCAGCACTTGCGTGTCAACAGCATGCATCAGCACATCTTTTGGAAATGCCAGTCTTCCCAGTCTCGAGATTCTGCCACTCTCAGCCTATCTGGGCCAGCACGCCCATATGGCTATGTGTCAAGTCAGGGGATCCCTCAAAATGATGGTGTGGCTTTTGGCTTCCCTTTCAACCTGAGTTCTGGCTAACTCCCGGAAACCCACAAACACCGAGGACTTGCGCCCAAGATGCACTAAAGGCCTTGCTCCCCACGTAGAGGGCCAGCCCAAAATCTGCCAACTTGGCCTGGGCAAAGGCAGGTCATACGTGCGTCCTGCCACTGGACGTTGGGATTATCGTTTGCTACTCAGGGAAAAAAAGGAAGAAACAAAACGATTTCACCCAGCGTAATGTTGACCCAGGATTAATAAACCCGTCCCATTATTAGGGGGGTGTTCCCTCCAAAAGTGAATCCCCACTAAAAGGGGACACACCCCTATTAATCAACCAGGGGGTTATGAATCCGGGGTTAACACTACAAGGTCACAGCACCAAGCTAAGTCGTAAAACGCAAGCCAGTCTCAACTGAGCGAAACAGGAATCCACGGCAGTACGCCGCACAAGAAAGCATGCTGCCTTCACATCTTGATCTGAGGGGGAGTTTGCGTATTGGGACTGTCATTGAAACTGGTCAGCAAGCAACAGAAATGCAGGTGTCACCTGGAGACACAAAAACTGGTCATTCCCCTTGAACTGGTTCAGCAAGAACTGGGAGTCCAGCATTCCCTGAAAGCCCCGAACCCGATGCTGAGTCAAGTTCAATACACTGGCCAGACAAAAGTTGCGCTTCTTGAAGTTGAAGCATTTACTACAGCCCCTCTTCCCCATAGAAAATCCTGCGCTATGAGACCTACGCAGGCTTGCGCCGCCAATTTTGGACCTGGGAAGCCTTTTGTTGCTGTAAATTTCAAAGAGCGTGAGAATTGACCGTCCCACGCCTGCGCATGGATCGCGCTTGATTCAACCGCGGTTGACCAAATAGGGTCGTTGGACAAAAGGCAAGAAACATGGACTCTTGTCTGCCTGAAGTATGATCCTCTTGGCCTGCCAAACTTGGCAAACAAACGCCCTTGTCCCAAAAAAAACAACGAGTTGTCCTCCAAAATGCAGGCCCTCTGCTGTTTCGCTCTGGGATGCCATCGGGAGTTCAATAAACGCAACTTTTGGGTTGTTCATCTGAGAGAAGTTCAACAGTGAAAGCTTGTCTTCGCACAGCCGATTCCCCTTTCGCAGGCTGCAAGAACTGAGCCATACCAACTTCTGGTGTCGCAATGTTTGGCAGAACTCATGGGCTTACCCCCAACATTCGGATCGGCCGAAAAATCCAATCTGGACTGAAAGGCTCTAGCCACACCCCAATCTGTTCAGACAATTCCCCAAATCCTGTGTTGAAATGGGTTGTTTCCAGGGCTGTGGGAAATGACCACTTCTGCGATACAACAAAAAGGGGCCTCCCAAAGACTTACATTGTCCCCCCCCCCCATTTAAAGAGGAGATTCCAACTTGTATCACAGAAGTGGTTGGATAAACCCCGAGCGATCCCACAACCCTGGTTGTTTCTATTCATCCAAGCTGAGCTCAAAGGCTCTAGCCACACCCCAATCTGTTCAGAAAGTTCCCGAAGGATGGGATTTCTCTGTCTATCAGTTCTGTATCTCCGGCCTCCTCGCCGTCCATCACTTCTAGTCTCTGGAATATTTTCTTGAATGCTACCTCTCTTTCCATTCTATTCCTCTTCCTTCATCCGCCTCTCAGTCTCTGATGTTGAAATGGGTGTGGCTCAAAATTAAACAGGAGGGTTTCGCAGGTTTTGGTCCATGTTTCCACTTACCAGGGTTCCATTGTGGTACCCGTTTTTTGAGCCACAGCCAACTGGGTTGTTTCTGAAAAGGAGTGGACCGCACGGGGAATCAACTCGCACTCCCCACAGCCTCATCCGAGGCCGACAGCAGCATATTCTCAGGCTTCACGTCTCGGTAGATGATGCCCAGCGCCTGCCGACCCGGGTCCCCGGGGGCCCGGTTCGCAGCCGCACGGCAAGCTGCGGAAAATTCATTTGTTGGTTGGTCACACACAGGAGCAGAGAAAGAAAGAGAGAGAAAGAGAAAGAGAAAGAGAGAGAGAGAGAGAGAAAGAGAAAAAAGCCTTGATCAGGGAGAAAGAGAGAGAGAAAGAGAGAGAGAGAAAGAGAGAGAGAGAGAGAGAGGAAAGATCTGAAGTGTAACCAGCACGGCTATATGTCCCTCCGATATTGATGAATGCAAACAAACATGGACTGTGGCCCGTATGAGATGACATAACTCCTCAGACCACCAATCCTTGCAAACAAAGTTCAGAAAGTCGTCCTTTCAAATGTGCCACCCTAAGGGTGGGCAACGTGAGTCCTGCAATCGCCCTTTCGATTCGGCGGCGCTTTGGCTATAGGTGTTGTCCTGTAGACTAGCGGGCAGCTGCCAATTTTTGCAGCCTGTGGAGTGTTGTTGAGGGTTGCATCCTCTGTAGTGTTGACCCCATATAATCCCTGGGTTTGATGGGGAATCATCACTTGTGGAGTGGAAAACTCCCCTATTAATGAACTGGGGTTGATTAAAATGGGGTCAACATTGTGCGCGAGGAAAACATCTAAGACGCGGAAAGGTTGAAATATGAATCGAAGTCGCTGGTCGGCTCTGCACCGTCTTCAAACGTCTGCTTGCATCCTGCATTCCAGCCGGATAGAGAGGGTATCATGTGAGACTCCGATTCAGACAAAAAGGTAACAAGGAGACTTGTAAGTCTTGGGCGGCTCACCCAAAGCAAGCAACTATCTTTTGTTAAGAGCGAGGCTAGAAACTGCTGAAAACGGATTGGGAGCAAACAACTGGTGAGTTCGTTCAATTCAGACTGTTGAACAAGCATGGCTATGGGTCAAAGTTTAAACCACGGGGGTACCGCAGGTTTTAGTCCTGTATTTACCAGGGTTCCACTTTGGGTACGGTTGCTATCTTTGACCCACCGCCTCATAGAAAGCGCAAACTCGCTGGATTGGACCGCCCAGGCCTGCATTCTAAATCTTAGCAACTTATAGAGGGCGCCAACTCAAAGACGACCTTGAGGGTCGGAAGGGCCTCTGAATCTCAGTGGACCCCCGTTCCATGGTGGGCATGGCTTTCCGAGTTCTGATGTCCAGTGATTCCCGAAGTAAAGCTGCCGCCGAGTTGGACGCCATGGGAGCACCCCGTCTCAATGATTCGCCTTGCCTTTTGCTAGAATCATGAATATAACGTCACGTACAAAGTAGGTTGAACATTCAAGCAGGCTGCAAAGGATTTGCTGTTTGCCCCGGATTTGGGAAAGTCAGGTCCACGTCCGCACAACAGTAGACTTGACCAATCACACAACGACCCCGGCCTCATGGATATGCACCAGCGCAAGGAGGACCTGCCCGGCGTACTTGGCCGCACCTGGAAGCTCCCTAGCGATGGGTCGGGTGTTGTTGGCGTCCCGTTTTGGGTGGTGACCAGGTTTTGGGCGGAAAATATATGGGTGTGGGTCAATATTAAACCACCAGGATATGGACCCCAGATTTTAGTCCATCTTTCCATTTACCAGGGCAACCCATTTTGGGTACCTAGTTTTGACCCGCAGCCATATTGCCATGAATTTAAGTAAGGAACCCCCTGGAAAATAGTTGGTGGACATCAAACTCCAACTAAATGATGTCCACCAGAGGGTCCCTAATTAAAATTAATGGCCATATGAGAAAAGGGGAGGGTCCCCAGGTGTTTGACTCATCCAAGGAGTGATGGGTATGCCCCAGTTGTGGGGATAAAGAAACTCGCAGCGCGAGAAAGCGAGCTGTGGCTCAATCTTGCAAGGGCCATGTTGCAGTTATTGTAGAGTGATAATTCTGCCAGTACTATGAGCCACAAATCGGCCATATCCATCTTTCCTCGGAGTCAAAAACCTGACCCTCCCAAATGCTTGGCTCTAAGACTGTCTTGTGACATCCCCAACTAAGAAAGGGGTGAGAAAGCACCTAGCTGACCTAGCCAAAAAGGACCAGGTTCCACACCTATGAGGCAAAGCTTGCAAGCTGAAGAATGCCAGCGTGAGCCCGAGCTGCAACCCCACCTTTTGCCTAAAACCGGGCCGGGTGTCTACACTGGACCTGCTGCATTGTGGAAGCAAAAAATGAAACGTGAAACTGGTGTCAAGTACAATCACCTACCTGCAGAGCAGAGATTTGCCATTGCTGCCTCTACAGGTTGCAGAATTTGGTTTGGAAGTTCCGTTTGGGAATGCACGGATTTGACTTAAAGCTTTCAACGAATTGCTGACAAATCGCAAGAGCTGGAAGTAAGTGAGCCATCTTTCAACATAGATGGCTGCGAAGAACCCTCAACAAGACACACTGGGCACATGTCAGCTGTCCCCAGCGAAATTGGGCAGTGTGCAAGACTGATCTTCGATGCTTCTCACCGCGGTGACTAGTTGTCCATTTGACCCACCAAACTGGCTTGCCCCGCTTGCGCTCTCGGGCAGAGTTTGAGCATGTCTCAACAGTCCCCCCCCCCCCCAAAAAAAAAAGAGACAAAAAAGGAAGCCATCTCTCCACTGGATGCACTGGAAATGAGGTGGTTTGTCCAGTGGACAAAAGTATGGTGGATCTCCGGAAAGATTCCACTGCAAAACATCGAATCAAACTGAAATCGGATCCAGCTATTTTGAACCCAACTGGCCCTAGGACACGGTCTTGACATCCATTCGTGCAAAGCACGGGAGTTTTGCGCGACGCCGGACTCTGCTTGAGGGTTGCGCAACAAGAAAGGTCAGACATTGGGACCAAAAGGAGCAAAAGAGTGCCCTTGTCATAGGTGTCCTTTTGGGGCAAATAGATGGCCCTGGTAGATGATTAACCACCAGGTAACCAGGAACCGCCCTCTATTGTTCGACCAAAACAACCAAAAAGGACACCTATGGCCCTTGCTTTTCTCATCGAACCAACAATGGATCCAAGCAAGGGCACGCACCTCGAGTCAGGGGTGTCGTTTTGCCACCTGTGAGAAAAATCGCGACCTCAAAAAGAAATTCTTCACTACAAGGGGCTTTCTGGGGATCCGAATCTTTTCAGGAAACCATCCAAAAACCCAAGAAAAGCCGCCGGTGTTTGAAAGAACGATGGTTGAAAGGAATGGACAAAACATCAACCCCTGAAATGGTTTGCGCTGTTTGTCGCAAGTGGCTTCGTGTGAAGATCATTCCACAGGCCTTTGGGATCAAAAGAAAAACCCTCGCCTTGGGCTCCCGGCGAGCGACCGGGAGCCCAGCGCAGCGCCCGGTCTCATCCTGAGTGCTGCACAGCAGCTGGTTCAGGTCTCCGTTGGGGCAAAGCTCCAACCTCGGATTCGTGAGAAGAATCCTGAAACTGGAGAGAAACCACAGAAAGTACTTCAAGGGGGCTTTTTGTACTGAGTAATTAAGTGTGCTGCGCAAATGATCCAGGAAAAAGAAGAAGAAAAAACAACTCGAGAGAAATCCACCGTCACTTCTTAATTTACCAAGATCAAAGTCACCCCCTAAGTGGTGGGCTAAAGGGAAATCACCCCATGTTCTGACCTTGATAACCCCCAGAAACCGTCAAAGTAATGACCCAGATAAAGGGGCATTGTGCGTCAGGTGAGTGGTGAGCAACCTTGGTTATAACCCGCAAACATCATGATTACTGTCTGCCAACCCAGCTCATTCATGCACCTGAGCAGCATGACTTCTTCTGTGCCAGCTTCCAGAACAAGACCATACAAAGCCTATGCGCTGTCAGGTTCTTTGTTGAGCTGCCAGCGTATGTGGGGAAAAAATGGCACCCTCCAACCCATTCGCATGTATCCTGACGGGGAGTCTGCCAGGCTCCATGTTCATTGGGGGAGGGAGGAACTGCAACAGTGGAAAAAACGAACACCATGGCGCCGCTGCAAACTGCAACGCTTCCTTTGCCGCAACTCAAACTGATGGGTTTCACGGTTTGCACATGGTGCTGCTCTAAGGAGATATGAGACAAATCCAAGCATCGCAATGGAGCTGGACTAGAACACGACCAAAAAGAAGAACCAACAGCAAACCTCACATGCGCTCTCGTTATTCATCAGGAAGACTATGAGGACTCAACACGCCACTAATTATATGTGATAGGCAAACACGTGTTAGCAGATTGTTGTATGACATAGTGTTGGAGTTAGGAATCATAAATAGAATAATGCTGGTTGCCAAAAGATATTGAGGGGCAGGACTATACAATATCAAAATAACACGCAGTGCACCTCATGAAAATTTAAAGCGCATAAGGCGAATCTTAACACAAACCAAAGCAATGATGAAAGACAAACCATGATGATACCCAAACATGATTGAATTGCTGGAGACAACAAAACGTCACAAGTTGCAGGGGAATTGCAAACTCCTTTATGTACAGTACTGTAAGTATTGGTTTCGATCTTTCAGTAGTTTGATGGACAAAACTTATCCCAGCTTCATTCCAGCTAATTCATTCTACATGCTGTAGTAGAATTGAGTGCTGTTTTCAGTGCGGTTGGCATATTTTCCAAAGTATATTGTAAGCAAATAGGTGGTCAGCTTCTGGTAGACAACTTTCTATGTCGTATCTTGACATCTAACCCATGCAACATCATCAGCCGTACCATGTCAGTGTCTTTTTTGTCTCATTGAATTTGCGTTTCTGAACGCCACACAAATCTTGACACCTGATCTTGCAATTTGAACAACAAATGTCATTCCCAAAATGAGCGTGGGACCCCAGAGAGCCACCACAGCAGCTCTCTCCCCCCCCCCCCCGGCAGGCCACGCCTTCGTCCTGGGGTCAAATTGTGGCACTTTCGCCCAAGGGCTTAAGGGTGGGATTCGCTGGTCTTGACTTGCATATATAGGTTGTGTTTGTTTGACCCCATTCTTCACCCGGTTTCGAAGCAAAAAAAGCATCTACATTTCAGACTCCAAGCCGTCTGCCAAGCTGCAGGAGGGCATAGTAGTGCGGAGTCTGGAAGGCTTGCTCCAGTCGCACGATGAAGGGATGCCCACACCTCCTGCATCGAGGGGGACTGGGGAGCGATTCTCGTCTGTCCCCAAGCTGAACGTTTGAAGCAGAGGCGAACAGCACCAAACAAGTTTCAACCATCTCCGTGTTGTCAAGAATATAGTTCGTTCTTGGACACTGGTGCCGCCTTGTGTCGCCTTTTAGAGGGAGCGCCAAGTGTACGCTGGCAAATATTCAATGAATTGCGGCACAGCCGCCTGACAGACAATCGAACGCCACGTTGTCTGTCGGCTTAAAGCTCTTGACCCGCAATCTTCAAGTCAACGAAATCCAGAATACCCCCGGCTACCGCACCGCCGAACACGCGCATCATTTGAGGCCCGACGCAAAAAAAACAAAGAACAAAAAACGGCCCGGGGGGGGGGGGGGGGCAAAACCGACCCAACAAAAAAAAGAGCGAAAAGCGACCCCTGGTCAATCGCCAAGCCGACCGACCGACCGACCCAGGGTTCGTCCTGAGGGCCACCACTTCAGAGTACGCCTGCCAGTCCTTCGGGGCGGTCGCGGGTGGGCGGGTGTGTTTGGGTGGGTAGGCGGGTAGGTGGGTGGGCGGGTGTGAATGTGTGGGTGTGGGTGGGTAGGTGGGTGGGCGGGCGGGTGTGAATATATGTGTGTGTGGGTGTGTGTGTGTGTGTGTGTTTTTTTTGTTTTGAGTTGGTACCCTTTTGGGGGGGGTTGCTTGCAACCAGCAAGGGGAATGTCCCCGAGACAAACTACCCATCCAGGCATATTCGACCAACCCAACACCTCTTTTGAGATGCGCCGCTGGCCTCTTGAAGGGTCGCATGTCTGGTGGGCCAGGCTGAGAGGTCCTACGTTTCCTTAGCACAAGCTCGGCTCGTAGCAACCCACAAACCAGCACCAACAATGCTTTCTGCCCGCGGGAATCCCTCTATGTGGGTTAGTGGCAGCGAATGCAAATGCAGTACTAGCCGTACAAAATGTGGTAGCATTGGTACCGCCAGTGATTATTTGGCAGCAATGGTCATTGTGGCGGCAACTGTGGTAGAAGAATGCTCAACACTTGACATTTGACTCGGACCGGCGCAAAAGAAAAACTTGTTGGGTGGATTCCTTCCGAATCTGGGACGCCTAGGCAAATATGTCACACAGTCACGTGAATTTGGCCGAGGCTTTTGCTCGCAAGAGGCCTTGTCTCAGTCGCGAGTGAAGCTATGGATCTGGAGCCCTCAAGAGTGAAGCTTGAGTGACCTACATCCAGACGTAGACTTTAGCCCATTTTCACTTTGATCAAGGGACTTTGAAAGCGTAGAACTTTGGCGTTTCCGGACTGTCGGGGTCAGCTTCGGCAGCACTTTGTGCAGGCTGCATTTAATTGTTAACAGCCAAAGTTCTTGGTTGCGGTAGGCCTTTGCATAGCTTAGGGCGTTGAATCTTCTGAAGGCTTGTGCAGGAATCAGGATATGCTTGCAGGAGTGAAAGAGCGTGTGAAGGTGTTTGCTGAGGCTGTTCAGTTTCTGTCTGTAGCAGGGGGCCTTTCTGGATATCAGATTGCTCCATTCCGCAACCAAGAAGCTGCGGAGGCAGTGTCAAACAACATTGTGCAGATGGCAGGATTTGTGCGAATGAAGATAGACCAGTCTTCGCAAACTCCACCCTTTTCAAAATGCCACTTGCAAGGGATCAAACAAAGCAAATGAACAATAAAATCCACATTGGGTTTGTGTCAAAACAGGAGGACCCCAAAAATGGCTGGTTTCGTTTTAGCTTCTCTTGAAACAAAGCAAATTCAGGGAAGCCTCAAATCCAGACGTAGCACAATGCTGACTTCAACTCAAGCGGATCCTGGAGACATCCGGGGCTCGCTCTAGTATCTGGCCTATGCAAGCTTTAGATTTACCCAACTCAACTCCAGTAACCCTATTGGGTTTGATTCCAAAGGTGCCCCGGTTCAAACATGTCCAAACCTCATTAGTCTACGGTCAAGCGGAGGCCATATCCCTCTGAGTACGGGGTTTCAGTTGACTTCCAATTGACCGGGCCAAGGGAATGACCCTGCCAAGGAAGGGACTCTCTCAGATAGTGTCAGCCTTAAGGAGTCATTGGAGTTCTCTTCAAATATATACTCCCCCCCCCAAATGTCTATCTTGTTTGGTTTCAATGGTGTTTGCGCCATGTGCATATATATGTATATATATATATATATATGTTATTTGTAGGTCACCAGGGTTCTTCAAACAATTAGAATCGACTGATGAGTTCCAACAAAAAAACCGCCGTCCCCAACCCCCCCCTACCACCCCCCCTACCCCCCTACCCCCCCCCCCCCCGCGGTCCAGGTGCATCTTCCGTTTCGCCTGGAGCTTCATTGCGAAGTGCCGGGAATCGCTCCTGGCAACGAAGGGAAAAAAAACCTAAGAGATGCATTGGCGGCCAAGCACATATCAAATGTATGCGAATATATATATATATATAGTATGTATGTCAATGTATGCATTATATACATGTACATGTAATATATATATATACACATATTAATATATATATATATATACATTAATATATACATATATATATATATGTATTATGTATGTCAATGTATGCATCTCTATGTACATGTACATGTAACATATAGATATGTATATCTACATATACAAAGTGTACATATATTGTGCATATACGTGTATATACATATACAGTGTTTATATACGTGTATATATATATATATGCATGAAAACAACGGATTTTCCCCTCAATGACTACAACAATGGACCCTAGAAGCATGAACACATATATTTATTTGCTGGGCACTTGAAAGTTGCACATGTGTAAGCTTTCTGCAGTCCCAGCCAAGGACTGCTTCTGGAGACTCTTGGCCCCATATTTTTGGACTGACTCAGGACCAGATCTGGAAAGAGTGAGCAAGCTTGTTTTTATCAGCTTCCCTCTAATTGGTGGTTTGGATTGGTGGTTTGGTGGTTAAGCAGGGGTTTCCCATTCAACGTCAGCATCAACGTCTGCAAGAACCAGAGGTTCAAATCCAAACCGATTGAGGGTTACCCGACTATATGTTCTTTGCGTCAGGACTCTTTATGGCGCTGTACAAGGTTTTTGCTTTGGGAAGTCCGGAGTTGGCAAGAGTCCGATATGCCTCGGGCTGCTGCAGATCCTCCTTGGTCAACGCTGGTGCTGTCCCGATTCAGATGGGAGCTGCTGTTTACCCCCAGCAAAAACAAGTCAGGGCTGAAGATGCTGAAGGGCATGGTTTGGTTGAATCTCAAGCAGCAAAAACAACAAAAACAGACAGCGCTGGACAGGCTTGACATGAAGAGACCCCAAAAATAGCTCATGGCCAAGACGCGCTTCTGCCACGGCCGGGAAAATAATGCGACCTACATCTTGGGGTAGGGGTCTATGAACTGGAGCTGACCAGGGAAACAACCGAATTGATCAGCATGCATCCCTCTGAGAAACAGCGGCCTGGGGGACTCTTGTCAGCATATCCCTGCTCGAATCTCCGCCAAAAATGTGCTCACACCACAACGTCCCCAGAACAGTATAGATTATGATTCCAAGGTTGCCACGCGCTAAGCAAGCCAGCAAAAAGCATTGGTTATCATCAATCAAATAGCAAACCGCAAGCCCTAAAGTCAACGGAATTCATTCTTCCACGAGCCAAACCACCTTCCAAGCAAATCTGGCGACTAAAAGCGCCCAACCACCATACGTGCCTTGTCAGGTCCGCGTCGCTGGAAAAGCGACGAACCGTCGGCGCGAAGGTCGCTGGTGCGAAGGAGCAAGGCACCGGTGCAACGATCTCCACCTCGATAACGGTGCCAGAAGAGCCTGCAACGGCTGGGAAGGCGACACAGGTATGCACGTGTCAAGTGTTGTGTGTGCGTGTATTCTCTGTGTGTGTGTTGTCTGTGTGTGTTGTGTGTTGTTGTGTGTCTTGTGTGGCGTCTTGTGTGTTTGTGTCTTGTGTGTGCTGTGTGCGTGCGCGTCCAAGCCACCAACCTGACGGGTGTCCTACTTCTTTCATGGGGGCTGGGAAAAAGGGAGGGGAGGGGGAGGGAGCCCATATAAGCCCTTCTTAAGCCTTCATAAGCCCTTATTTAGGGCTTGTTTAGGGCTTATTTGGCTGTGGGTCAAAACCAATGGTACCATTTTGGGGTAGGTGAATTATCACCCATTCTAGAGCCTATTTTAGTGGTTGGATTGAATCGGATGTTCACTGCAATTACGATTTGGATAACCCATGGCCATTTGGGCTCCCCCTCCCCTCCCTCCCTCCCCAGCCCTCGTGAAAACCCTCAATAAGCCCTTAATCAACCCTTAACAAGGCCTCAATAAGCCCTTCTTAAGCCCTTAATAAGGCCTTAACAAGCCCTTAATAAGCCCTTAATAAACCCTTCTTAAGCCCTTAATAAGGCCTTAACAAGCCCTAAATACGGCCTTATTAAGCCCTTAACGAGCCTTAATAAGGCCTTTTTTAGGGCTTGTTTGGCTGTGGGTCAAAACCAATGGTACCATTTTGGGGTAGGTGAATTATCACCCATTCTAGAGCCTATTTTAGTGGTTGGATTGAATCGGATGTTCACTGCAATTACGATTTGGATAAGCCATGGCCATTTGGGCTCCCCCTCCCCTCCCTCCCTCCCCAGCCCCCATGAAAACCCTCAATAAGCCCTTAATCAACCCTTAACAAGGCCTCAATAAGCCCTTCTTAAGCCCTTAGCAAGGCCTCAATAAGCCCTTCTTAAGCCCTTAGCAAGGCCTTAACAAGCCCTTAATAAGCCCTTAATAAGCCCTTGATAAGCCCTTAATAACCGCCGTATTTAGACGGCTGATTTACGGCTTATGTGGGCTCCCTCCCCCTCCCCTCCCCCCCCAACGACGCCACGACTCTTAGGCGACCAGCCACGCCTTGGCCCAGCGCCCGGACCTTGCGCATGGACTTCAGGGAAGCCACTGCTGCCTGCCTGGGGCGAAAATGGGGAGACTGAAAAGGCCCCTCCCCCCCCAAAAAAAAAAGAAAAAGCAAAAGCAAAGACGAACACAACAACAAAAATAAATCAAAAATAGAACAAATGAAAAAAAACAACTAACCACAAACAAGTGTCAATAAAGCAAAGCAAGGAGACAAACCTCCGTCTGGGCTCGGAGCCAACCCGAAACATTATGTTTTTTTTTTTTTGTTTTTTTTTTTTTAATTCTGTTCGTTTATATCTGCGTATGCTTTCATGGGCAACACCATCTTGATGTCCAACTGGCAATAATGCACTCAGCTGGAGTCAAGCATGCAATTGAGCATGAGGAAATCTGTTTTCCTCGCTTGCCAGAAAGCTTGAGAATCAAATGTAGCTCGGGGAGCTTCCCATATTCCCCACATGCTATCCCAAATGCTGTTCCAGTCTCTCGCCCTTTCCCTGGAGGGACGGACTTCGGGTTTTGAACTGTGGCCTCATCTTTTTGGGGTTTCCTTGCGTGCCATCTTGGTCCCCTCCGTCATACGGGCGGGATTTTCTTCCATCTTCCGAATGGTGTCACCCCCGGTCGAAGAGGCTGGAATCCCTTCAAGACAACCCCAAAACAGGTGCCCCTGGCAGTGAAAAACACCCACCCCCTTGTGAGCCAGTTGTTCAAAGCATCACTTGGTTGTCAGTTGAACCCCGCTTTCCCTCCCCTCCCCTCCCTTTTTAACCCCCCCCCCCCCCCCCCCCCCCCCCCCCCACCCCACCCAAAAAGAGAAGGCACCATTCGCACCCCACCGCCTCCCCCTTCTCCCCCTTCTCCGCGCCCAGGCGCGGCAGCAGGAAGCGGCCCAAAGGCCCTGCGGCGTGGGCCAAGACCAAGGCGCTCACCGAGTGCAGCTCATGGAGCTCGGGCACCTGAGCCACTCGCTCACTTCCAACAAACGATTTGGGTGTGGCTCACTTCCAAACAATATGGGTGTGGCAACCAAAATTAAACAGGAGGGGTTACGCAGGTTTTGGTACCCAAACAATATGGGTGTGGCAACCAAAATGAAACGATCGGGGCAAACCGCAGGTTTTGGTACCCATGTTCCCACTTCCCAGGGTGCCATTGTGGTACCGGTTTTTTGAGCCACAGCCATATGGTTTCTATGGTTTCAACCTGAGTAACTTCCTGTGGATGGACGAAATCCGTTTCGCACCACCGTTCAGAAACCCTGGAATGATGATTCTCCTGTAAATACCAACAAACAATGGTGTCAACCATGGTTTCAAAGTGGTGCAGAATCTTGTCCAACAATAGGTGAGTCACTTGCTCAAAACCGATCGGTAAATGCTCGTACTCCATGCTTCAAGAACTAAGGCGGAGATAGTAGCTAAGCTATTTCTGGCAAGGGGATCGTCCCTTAACCTTCACTTACCCTGGTTTTGATTGTGGCTCACCTGCCGACTGCCGAGGCGAATGGACGGCATGACCCTGCTGTTGGGTTTTGTGTTTCGAGACGCACCGCGAAATGGGTGTGGGTCAAAATGAAACCACCAGGAAATGGACCGCATGTCTTGGTGCATGTTGCCACTTACCAGGGCAACCCCTTTTGGGGTTACCCTATTTTTGACCCACAGCCAAATGGCCGGGGAAACGCCTTTCCGAGAATGACTCGGTTTGTGTCTTTAAGGACAGAAAGGTCGACATGTTGAGGGGTGAAAGTTTTGGAATGGACCCTGCCAAGTTGTGTGGCCAGGGGAGTGGTCGAGGCCTGCGGGTCAGTTCTGCTATCGCTACCCATTTGCTTTCCATCAGGGTTGCGGTTGATCACAACGGGTTTATCCAACCACTTCTGTGTTACAAGTTGGAATCTTGGGGAGTCGTTGGGAAGCCCTTGTTGTAGAGTCCGTTTCCCGCAGCCCTGTTTGTGCGAAAGTTGACGAACTGCGACATGGCTCGGGGAAACGGTTTTCTGAGGAATGACTTGTTTTGTGTCTGTAAGGAAAAACAGGTCGACATGTTGAGGGGTGAAGGTGTTGGGAAAAACATTGGGCTTTCCTTAAAGTAGAAAAATAAAAAGGAGCCGGAAACGGGTGCAGCTGAACTGGGGAGTTCTGCGCACCCCCAGGGAAAGCAGCCCATGAGTCATGGATGCGAAAGGAGTTGCAGAGAAAGGAGATACGTAGCCAGTCTCTGCCAAACTGCCAACCTGCCAACCTGCCAACCATAAAAGAGGAATTCGAGGCGGGCGGCTGTTGGGCGAGGTACCTTTCTGATGTCAGCCTCGACCCTCTCTTCTGCTTGGGCCGCCCTGGTGAAGCTGTGAACGGACCTCTTCGGGACACTATCTTTGACAGGCGGCTACAGTGAACATCCTGGTTCTAAGCGTCTGCGGTCGAGAAGACCAAGAGTGACTTATGATCTGCCAAGCTGAATTGAGGCGCCCCCAAGCAATGAGCCATCATGGCCGTCATCTCAAGAGAGCTTGTAAACCCCCTTTATTTGCCCAGAGCCTCAAAGCCGATGACTTGCGGAAGGCCATAGTAGTTCTCTACAGCTCTAAAATCAGGAAGCGCGACCGCCATAGGTGTCCTTTTGGGAAAATAGATGGCCCTGGCACACTATGAAACAAGCAGGGGACCAGGGCCGTCTATCAAAACTAACCCAGAAAGGACACCTACTGTGGATGGACGAAATCCTGCACCACCTAAGAAACCCTGGAATGATGATTCCCCTGCAACAAACAATGGTTTCCCATGGATTCAAAGTGGTGCAGGATTTTGTCCATTCAGAGTATGGCGACCGCCCCCCATCTGATCAGCGAAGCCGCATCCTCCTCCACGGCGTTGGGGAAGAACTTCAGGAGTGTCCGGCTCACAGCCAGATGGGTCCTCGCCATCGGGGCGACGCATGCGGCGTAAAAAGCAAATCCGCGGGAGACGGTGGGAACAGGCCACTGGCGTGGCTTGAAAATTCGTCCGCAAGAGTCATGCAGGAGAGTCGATACCAGCCGTACTCATCCCAACTGAAGAATGCCTTGACCGATATATCGATATAACCAGCCGTACTAAGCCCAACTAAAGAATGCCTTGACCGCTGCTTCACATTGATTGAGCACCGCCACACATTGCACTCCACAATCCTCCAAGTCCGCACGCTTCTAGCGAGCAATCAAGCAAGGAAGCAAGGAAGCAAGGAAGCAAGGCAGCAAGGCAGCAAGCCGGCAAGCCGGCAAGCCAGCCAGCCAGCCAGCCAGCCAGCCAGCCAGCCAGCCAGCCAGCCAGCCAGCCAGCCAGCCAGCCAGCCAGCCAGCCAGCAAGCCAGCAAATCAAGAACTCATTGACTGGCTATGAGTTGCTTGCTAGCTACTAGCTAGCTAAACAGCTCAACAACTGCAAGCGCCAGGGCAAAGTCCCATCGGTCGGTGAAAAGTCGCATCACTGCACGGAACGGCCGCCGGATGTCACATCGGTCGCAAGGACGTCGCGTCACAACAAGCAAATCACCCTTGGTACGCAGCCAGAATCACTTGGGCGCTTACGCGCTAGCCAGCTAACCAACCAAGCAATGCAAACCTAGCCCAGAAAACATGGAAAATGCAAAGTATTCTCCCAGCAAGGGATGTGACGGATCTCCTTCGGTTGCCATCCGAAAGCAACGTTCCGTGAGCAAATGGAAACCTCAAAAATCATGTTGCAACCCGCCGTGCAAAACGCGGTAGTGGCATACTTGTTCCTCTCAAGGAGTGACCTGTCTCAGGGTCCGCTACAGGCAGCTTTTTCGAGAACAATCAGAGCCCCTGTCTCTATTCATGGCCCAAAACCAGCAGAATCTTACATCCCCCAGATCCCCTGCGGCGCACTGCTCCAAAAGGAACTTTTGACTGGCACACAGTCAGAAAAGTCTCCCCAAACCTTCGAAGTCCCCAACAACCCCCTTCCCCCCAAATCCCCCCAAATGCCCACAAAACCCAACTCAAATCCAAAGACACCCAACACCCACCACCCCAAAACCACCCGAAAACATCCCATCCATCATCCTTCCTCCAGAACACCAAAACACCCACTTCCAAACCCCACCCCAAAACATCCCATCCCATCCCATCCCATTGGCCTCACGTTCTGCAGGCTCACCGTGGAGGAGTTCTCCTCCACCCGGCGCCGGGTGCCGCGGTTGGGCTCCAGCAGCAGAAAGAGGCGCTGGGCCTCGCTGCTGCTGAAGACCTGCCCCGGGTCCTCGAAAAGCGCGGAGCGAGGGAGCGAGGGAGCAAGGGAGCGAGCGAGCGGTGAGAGGAGAGGAGCGGAGCGAGCGAGCGAGCCGAAACGGTTGGCTGGGCGTTGGTCTTGGGGGTGGAGGGTGTCCAGGATCCCCCCAAAAAAAAACCTATCTAGACCTTCAACCTCCAAAAAATCTGGGTGTTTGAGGAGACCCCTACGATTTTCCAAATTCCACTGGTTTAGCCACAATTTGGGCATAAGCACATACAAACTGCGTTGTTTCCAGTCGCCGGTTGGACATACAAAATCAATACGCCTCGCAGCACTTGCCCATGTGCCAGTGAACCCAATGGGATGCCTTGATCCTCAAAACTGCGACTTGTTCTGATTTGCGGGAGTTTGCGGGTTTGGGGAGGAAATGTGCGGGTCGCTTGCGGTCAAAATGGGTACGTTCGTTCCGTACCGACACGACTTTGGATGGAGGTTGCATACTTTGACAAACTTGCTAGCTGCATTGTGTCGCTGACCCCTGCAAAGCTTCATTTCTTTAGAAGGCCGCGAGCAGCGCGATAGTGTATTTTAGGAGTTCTAGGTTTCAGATTTTGCGGCAAGTGTGCTAAGATTTCCTGAACGTCCACCGCAAACATGTCCCGGAGGATCGCTCAAGCCAACTTGATCCCTCACAGTGGGAAATGGACTCCACTTCTCTGATACAACAAAAAGGGTCAGCCAAAAACTAACCCATACTGTGGATGCACGAAATCCTGCACCACCTAAGAAACCCTTGAATGATGCTTCCCCTGCAAATACCAACGAACGTTGTGGTTTCAACCATGGTTTCAAACTGGTGCGAAATGGATTTTGTCCATCCACAGTATGAAGAGGTTGGATTCCAACTTGTATCACAGAAGTTGGATAAACCCCGAGTGATCCCACCCGGATCCCTCCATTTGCTTAAGTCCCTTAAAAAAACACATGTATATATATATATAATCCAGTAGTGATAGATTCCCTTTAAAACCAACAGGGGAAAATCAAAAAAACACTTACCCAAATGGCGGAAAATGATGTGGTTCCCGTTTGAGCTCCCTTTTAAACCATCCAATCCTCCAACAAACCAGCCCTGCATTAACCAGATGGAAGAATCCCTCAAGACAACCTCCGCTCCTCCGTGAGCCCCAGAGCCTTAGTGGCACAGCTCCGAAGCTCGCCATGGACTTGGCGCAGCAACTGGCCAGGACACGATCCGATTTCAAGGGGAACCGATCCGATTTGGGGGTTTTCGGCTCCTCGATTTTGACCACGTAGCTTGGGTGCTGTAGATCCCCCAGCAAAAAGTTAAACTTGTTGCTGGTTGAAGGGAAACATGAGGGGAATCCAAAAAATGAAAGTCTAAAGGTCCAACCCAATAGCAGTAGAGGTAGAATCAACATGAATTTTCATGTACCCATGGACATCGAAACGCGGGGTATGTCCACCACTTGTGAGATGGAGCAGATGCGGCACATGCACGTTCACTAAACCGCAAGCATGCTTGTACATATTAATGTTCAACAAGTGACCTTTTCTATCTGACTCCATGGCTCCTGAGACGCGATGTTTCAAGAAGCACTCCAAGAGAACACAGAGTGAATTCTGCTTGGTGTCAGGAGGGTTTAGTGGAGAAATCCAAAATCGGATTTCATCCGCTCTATAGTCTTCCCAATGACCCCTCATCACCTCAAACTTGCCGGGAAGTCCGCATACCCTGATGCCATGGCTACCAGAAATGTTTGGGGGTCCTGGGATTATGGTGAATGTCCGGAAGCCCAAAGGAGCGTGCGGCCATGCCATGAACTTTGAAGGCATTGGTACTTAGTAACATGCGCAGTTGGCTTGGGACTCACAATATGAAGGCAACATGTCCAGTGGGAAAGCTGACGACTCTCTGTCTCCTTTTGGACCCCAAATGCCGTTTCGACCCACTGCCCTGGAAACTCCGGAATAAGAAATGCCTATCCGAAAAATCAACAAGAATTCCCCCTAGTTTCGAATCCTCCCTCCCAAAGGGTATCACAAACGGAACATGGAATGAACGAAATTCCGTCCACCCGATTGGTTGAAGCGGATCAAGGGCCTCCAGAAGGACTCAAAGGGGTTCTTCGTCCAATACATGAACCTCGGTTTTCAGCGCTTTTGGCGGTCAAAACCCCGCAAATGGAGTTTGTCCTTTTGGCGTCCTTTTAGACCAGCTGCTTATTGTGCAATTTTGTGTTATTGTTTATTATTCAATATAATTAAATAGTTATTATTGTGTTATATTGTATTGATATATGATCTTGGTTATTCTGAAATACTTTATAATTAGTGGTGGTTGCATTATGGCGGTACATTCAAATTAATAACTATACATATTTGATTAATGAAACCAAGGAATCCGATAAGTATGCTTAAAGACGCGTCAACAAACCCCAATGGGACCATCTCAGGCAATCCTTCGCTCTACATCCAATTGCGACCATCTGGCCAAAACTCCCACCCTGGCAACTGGAAAAACATGGACTATTCTAAAGCCTGCGGGATTTGCTGGTGGCTCCGTTTCGGAAACAAGGACTTCTCTAAAACCCAGCGGAATCTTCTGGACCCATCTCCCCATCTCAGGCGTGTTTTTTGCTTCAGGCGTGTTGTTCTTCATTTTTTTTGTTTTCCGGCGGCTTCCTGTTGGCCCCATCTCCCCATCGCTACTGTCCTTTTTCGAAGGAAGGGGTGGTTTTGTTCATTTTGATCCACGGGTCTTCCTGGGGGGAGACCGAAGCGATTTTTTTCCTTGTGTTTTTGTTCATTTTGACCCGCGGGTCTTTTTTGCGGGGGTCTCCAAAGCGTGGCTCAGTCCCGCCTGCTGCGCCCCCGGCTGGTTCACCAGCAGCTCCAGCGCTTCCAGCTGCTTGGCCCGCACCGCGTAGTGCAGGCACGTCTCCTTCCGCGCGCTCCGCACCTCCACCTTGCCTCGGGCGGATCGGCGGATCGGCGGAGGCGGACTGGAACTTGGGGAGCTTTGGTCTAGGTCCTCTAGTAGAGAGGTTAGAGTAAGGGTACCCAACCTTTTTTCGGTTTTGTCTATTTTAGTAGGGGAACCCTCCCCCAAAAAACGGATAAAAGAGCCAACAGGCCGTTCCCAAAATTGGCGAACTAGCTTTTTTTCAGCGAAGAATGGATCCCAAATGACGCAGGTACGAAGAATGAGTCGGTGGCACACCCCCCTTCTCTCCCCAGAATTGGCGAACTCTTTTTCTTTTTGCGAAACATGGATTCAGCTTCCGTCCTCGGCGGTGAGAAAAAAAGTTTGGTGCCGGTGGCTTAAAAGATCACAAAAAATGTGAAACTCCCAACTGGCGCCTCCCCCAATTAACGAACTAGCTTCTTCTTTTTGTTGGTGAAAAATGCATTCAGCTTCCCTCCACTTTTGCAAAAAAGTTTGGTGCCAGTTGACTAGGGCGCTTCCTTCCTTCCTTCCTTCCTTCCTTCCTTCCTTCCTTCCTTCCTTCCTTCCTTCCTTCCTTCCTTCCTTCCTTCCTTCCTTCCTTCCTTCCTTCCTTCCTTCCTTCCTTCCTTCCTTCCTTCCTTCCTTCCTTCCTTCCTTCCTTCTCCCCATAGGAATGAGAAGAAGTTTCTTTTTGATCCCTAATAAGTGTTTGTTTGATCCCGAATAAGTTTTCTTTGATGCCTAATAAGTTTTCTTTGATGCCTATCCCGCACGGTTCCCTGAGCCATACAGGGTGTTTAATAGGGGGATCTGGTTGTTTCTTTTGAATATATATTGACCCATCCCCTTTCAAGAACATCAAGAATCAAGAACATATGGTTGCTACTTAGCACACAGCATAGGCATTTCTGAGACAGAGGCGGATACGTGTCCAACATATGCTGGTACCATCCCCCCAACAACAAAAACGTACATTTCGGGGATTTCTGTTGGTTTGCCCAAAAAGCAAGAAGAAGCTATTTCCCCCCCCCCAAAAAAAAAAACAAAGACAAGAAAAAGAGACGAACACAACAACTTGTATGTCAAGGCTTCTTTTGGTTTCCCCGAAGCAGCGTTGACGTTTTGTGCAAATTGAGCCCTTCGCCCATTCCCTCCCAACCCGGGAAAACAAAAACAACTCGGGCTGTACGCCTCCACAGGCCATGATCATCCGCAACGCTTCCACGAAGCCGTTCTCCGCCGCCAGCATCGCCGCCGTGATCTTCTCCGAGTCCTGAAAAAGGCGCGGAGGCTTCGGCGCGAACGCGGTGAGCCACAGGACACCCGAAGAAGGGGTCGTGTCAAGGGAGAGAAGTCAAGAGACTGGGGTTCATGAGTCCTGAATCATTATTCTTCATGTCATTATATTTGGGTTCGTTAGTCGATCATTCTTCAGAAGTCATGTCATGTTCAAGGAACTACAGTCAGCTTCTTTCTTCAGTCAGCGCTGGCCATGGCATGCTCCGCTTTCCGCTTTCCGCTTTCCGGCTGAACGGCCCGGTCCTTGGTGGGGCCATTCACATCCAAGGCCTCACCTCCCAGACTGGTGTCCAAGAGCTTCCTGGCATCCAAGTGGGGTCATTATTTTGACGGTTTCTGGGGGTTGTCAATGTCAGAAAATGGATTCGGTTGTTTCCCTTTAACCCACCACCTAGCGGGTGACTTTGATCGAATCAACCCCTACAAAAAAGGGTGGTCGCGAAACTGGACAGCCTGCGCAAATTCCCTTTGCCTGCGGGAAAAAAAACACTATCGGAGGCGGCAAATCGAACGAAAGCGATTTTGGAGCTAAAGAGCTAAACTCAGCTCCTTTGCAAACGCCGGGCCAAAACACTCTAGCCTCAATACCAGAAGGCTGATCGCATGCTGATAAGGAGAGAAATGAAGGCAAGCAGGCAGGGAAGAACTAAACACGACATCGCCTTAGTTGGCTGAGTCTGTTTTGTTCTTTTCGCATCCCAATTCCACAAAAACTCTTTCTCTCTCTCCACATATATATATATATATATCGCTTTCTCTCTCTCTATCTCCTTGAATGGCCTCATACCTTCGAACAAAGGACTGTTCGCGCCACAAATGTTGCGTCAGTTTGCCTGCGCGGATCATGTCATGTCCACTCTCCTTTTGCCTCTTCCAGGTTTCCCTATCTTTGTATTTACTTGGTTGGCGTTGGAAGGGAAGCAAAATTTTAAATTGTAGCAGTTCAGTGGTTGGATTTCAACCGCTAAACCACAATAAGCAAAAATAGGAAGAATGTGTCCCAACAACAACCATGTGGTATACCTTTGAACATACAGCCTGTGCCAAATGGCTCAAGGTGCCAAAAACACAAGCTGACTTTCAAACGCCACCCCCTTCAAAAGGAAGCTCGCTTTCAATCGGCCCAAAAACCACCCCAAAGAGGGGTCACGACCCCCTCCTGACTCTGGAGATCTTGTGGTGCAGCACCGCCGTGTGCAAGTCGTCCCCCACGGACTGAACCGTGGATCGCGCAGGGGAACTTTAGAAAGCTGAGGCCCAGAAATTGGGGGGTAGGGGAACTCCATATGGCTGTGGCGAAATCAAAAAAACGGAATTCCCAAACGGGTTGCCCTGGTAAGTGGAATGGACTAAAACCTGCGGTTTGCCCCTCCTGTTTAATTTTGAGCCACACCCATATGTACCTTTTCACTGCAATGAAACAGCGAATACGAAAGACTCAACAGAAGTAATTTCGACGCTACTTCATATGATTTCCGAAGTCATCTTTGTTTCTTGGTGTCAAGTGATGTGTCCGCACTCGGAGCATTGCCTGGCAAGAAATTGCGGGTTGGGGACTCCCACGCTACCTCTGGGGTTCGATGGGCTCGGATGGTGTATCCGCATTCTGCGGCACATGGGAATCCCAGACCTGGCGAGTTGCTCCATCTTAGGGCTACCTTCCATGGCCCCATTCTCAACCCAGGCATCCGACTTTCTTTCTACAAAACCACCTTCCAACCCCTGGGGAAACAGATGGTTGTTGAAAAAAAAAGATGGTTGAAAGGAATGGAAGAGGAATCAACCCCTAGAATCTGTGTTTCCTTTTTGGGGTTCGATGGGGTATGAGTCAGTTTGTTTCATCCACTTTTAATCCCCTTCTACAACGCTGCTAAGAAAGCTATATGCAAACACGTTTGCACAAAAGAGTACCCCTAACACGAACCACGAACAAACATCACCACCAAAACAATCCCAATAAGCAGCACACGGAAACCACAATAATTTAATTACCAAAACTAGCTAAACAGCCCAATGCAAAATTAACTGCTACCATGATAGACCGATATCAAACTAACCATAAGCAGAGAACTCATCTTTTGGGCATGGTCCCCGATTGACACACATATGGGTCTGTTTTCTTGAGGGTACCACCTTCCTTTGCTTTTCTGGTTTGAAGAGGACACCCTCTGGGGAAAACCACCATGGGGGGGTGATACCCCTTTTGTGGTTGGTTTAAAAGGGAAACCAAGAGGAAACCTACCATTTTGGGGGACACCCAAATGGGTCCCCACAGAATGTAAGTGGTGGGTGATAACCCAAACACAACACCATTCTAGGGGGGGAGGAGGGGGTTGGGGGAACCAACCAACGCCAGAATGCGTGAGACACCCAGGCAAACAACATCGACCAACACACCGCGACAGCACAAAAAAAACGACAGCACCAAAAAACAAAAAACAAAAAACAAAACATGCCATTCAGCTCCCGGAGTTTTTTGCCGCAGGCCGCCGGTCGCCTTGATCATGGGGGTGAGCTTCAAAAGCTCGCTGACCGTCAGGGAGCTCAACAGGACGATCATCAATGTCAGGGCATGCACTCGTTCCACAAAGGTTTTCCTGTCGGAAAATTGGCGAATCTCAGGGAGGAATCGCAACCAATACAAGCAGCATATAGTCTTTGGAACTCTGGGCACCAACCCCAGCCGACAGAAAGAGGGTGACTTGGTTTGGAATTTTTGCTGGGACTCGTGCTGGGACTCGTGGGTGTATCAGCTTTTCTTGGCCCTTTCCCTCTGCATTCAGCAAACCCAGAGGAAAGCAGCCAATTGGAAGGATCGCGCCGGGCACCCAATGGCAGCCAACCGAACGTGAACAACCAAAAATGAGCTGCTCCAAAAGCAGTTGCTCCCCAGTGCATCATTTTTTCGGGGCAAGTCCAGGACCCTGGAAGAGCGCCTCAAAATCATGTGCCCTGTCAATCCTTTGAGGGGCTCGATGTGTTTTCGAGATCCGCCCGCCAGTACGGGAAAGCCGTTGATCTTACCACTGGACTTGCTGAATTGACTGGCACAACTTCTGAGCCCACGTGGATCCTAGTATGGGGCACCAGTCACCCTGCCAAAACTGCAAAAGCAGGACGGGGACATGATGCGCAAATGGAACATGTTCAAATCTGCCAAGTTGCAGGAGGATTAGAATGCAGCCTAAGACCTTGCATCCAAGAAACCAACAATGCTGATTCTAGATGGGAATGGTTTGGGCATGAGAACCACTTAAAAGAGAGTTGCGTCACCGAGCGCAGTCAGATCAATGTAGGTGACTCGGGCAAAATCGGTCAATGCCGCAAAAGCCAGTACAACACAGGGCCTTGTAATATCCAAGTGGAAGCTCAGCAGGGACCAAAAAGTGTGTCTTGCTTTTTGTTCGGAGAGAACTGATCAAGCCCCGAACATGAAACCGCAAGACACTAACAAAAGGCCCACATACCCCACCAACTGTCACATTCCCAAAACAAAGGGAAGAATTTGGCCTATACCGAACGTCCTTTCATTTTTCAGGCCCCTTGACCTCAGGAAGCACATCCATGAATGGCGTTCGGCAAGCTCTTTCGGACGGCGTCCTGCTAGGTGGAATACTCAGCCTGAGGCAAGTGACGAATCCAGCCAGGAGCAGGAACTGGACTTTGCGCCACCTGAGACACGCACCGTTTATATATATATATATGTGTGTGTGACGATGCGCGTGCGTACGCACATAAGCAAGAGCGTGGTTGCGCAAATAAGCAAGCGCGCGAGCGCGGTGAGTGCATGTGCGCGTGCCTGTTTGCGCACGTCTCAATAGGAAGAGGCTAGTCTTGGTGCATGCGGGCGGGCAGGTGGGTGTTCGCAGAGGGGTGCGCGGGTGGGTGGACCCACATGCGTGCGGCAGTGCGTGGGTGCGGTCGCGCAGGAGTGCGTAAAAGCTGGGAAGAAGTGAATCAGCATGTTGAAAATGGTACAGGAAAGGATGTTATTTGTACAGCCTGGTCTAGCTCTTGGGAAATAAGTGTCATGCGGCTGGAGTCATCTCTGTTCATCATATTCTCCTTGTCTTCTCCAAGGGAGTCTTGGACGGGCCATAGGTGAGGCTCTCAAATTAAACCTTCCATCTCTATCTCTCCCCAAGTTTTGCTGAGAAGCAACGTGCGAGAGGGCGCGGAGGTGTACGCCTGGGCGCGCGCAGATTCATGCATTCCTGGTGCGCACGTGCGCAAATGCGCACGCAGGCGGGGGTGGTTGTTTGCTCAGATGCACATTGCAGGTGTCCATCCACGCATCTGAGTGCATCTGTGTGTGTGCTTGTGTGCAAGTGTGTCTCCATGTGCCTTGCGTGTCTGTGCGCCTCTGTGTGCCTCTGCATGTCTCTATCTGTGTGTCTGTGTGCGTGCGTGTCTTTGTGTCTGTGTATGTCTCTCTCTCTCCGTCTCGCTCCCTCTCTCGCTCTCTCGCTGGCTCGCTCGCTCTCCCTCTCTCTTTCCCTTGCTCTCTCTCTTTCCCTTGCTCTCTCTCTCTCTCTCTCTCTCTCTCTCGCTCTCTCCCTCTCTCTCGCTCTTTCTGCCCCTGTCTTTCTGTCTGTCTCTGGCTCGATGATGTGACTTTTTTGGTGTCAAAATGACCATAGTAGCCCCTGCGCGCGCAAGAACTGAAACTGGGTTGTTGTTCGGGCTGAGCATAAGTCCTCAAAATACAAGTGCGGATATGAAGCCGAAGAATGAATCTGATTCACTGAATATTGTCAGCTTCCCTCGAATTGGTGGTTTGAATTGGACTCACCCTCAAGAAGGACAGGGGTTCAAATCCCCAATCCACCAATCCAAAGCACCAAGGCGTACCAAATATTGGGCACTGAAACACGTCCTGCATCCGTGTCAGGCTTCCCGTCGCTTGTTTTGCTGTTTTGCTCTAGCCGGGCCCGGGCTCAGTCTGATTGAATGGTCCCAGCTAAGGTTGAGTGTTCAACTTCAGCTTGAATCATATTAAGAAAAGTCCGCCAGGCGAAAGATGGCGGCTATCGCCGGAAGGACCCAAGCATGATTTGACAACAGCTGCCCAAGAACAAGCCAACCAGTCGCTGTTCCGTCAAAACGGCCAGCCCTCCCTTCCACTTGAACGCCGACTGACTCCTTCGAAAGATCATGATTTCCTGATAAGCTGCCTTTCCTCATGGGCATCGTTTGTTTTGCTGCTTTTAAAAAGGGAGCAAAGCAAGCCATCTCTTCCTGGCACGGTCCATGGCCAGCTCTCTCTCACGCGAATTTGAGGCTCGGGCCGGTCCACCGCGCGGCTGATGCGCCGGGCGGGGTAGCAGAACCCGGGCCGGTCCACGAAGCGGGTGACGTCCGCCACCACCAGAAACGCGGCGACGATGAAATGCACCCCGCAGGCCTGGCAACGAACCAGACGAGACTCGAAGGCGAGAAGCGAAGCAGGTGAGGAAATCTCCGGGGTGCCCCTCCAAAAGTGGTTTGAATCCAACCACTAAACCCGACACCAGCAGGCAAGCGAAGCAAGTGAGGTGAAGCAAGTGAGGAAGTCACAGACCTGAGACCATGTTGACTCCATATTCAACCCCGGTTGATTAAATTCGAGGGGTGGGGGTTTCTCCAAAAGTGGTCTGAATCCAACCACTAAACCCACAAACACACAACCATATTCATAAATTGGGTTGATTTATGTGGGGTCAACATTCTGGGTCAGAATTAAACCACCAAGAAAAAAAGCAGGATTGAATGTCCTTGTCTCCATTTGCCAGGGCAACCCATTCTGGGTGCCTATTTGTTTACCCACACCCATTTACCCGTGACTCATGACCAGTTAATTTGAAAACCTAGGGCTCTGAAAATCGCCTTAAGCAACTGGTTCAGAACCTAAGGAGAGGAGAAAAATCGCCTTCAGCAACTGGAAGAACCTAAGGAGAGGAGAGGATTGGATGAGATGTCACCCCGAACGAATGGAATCATAACGAGGAAAAAGCCTGTCGCAGGTCTGGCGTCTGTTCGGCATCTCTTTGCCGAAAGCCTTGGTTGTTTGGTAGACTTGGTCTTGGTTGACGTTGGAAGGGGAGCGAAAATCCTCAAATTTTAGCAGTTAAGTGGGGATTTCCCACTAAACCACAACAAGCAAAAATGCAAAATGTTTCCTAACAACAACCATGTGGTATACCTTTGAACATACAGCCGTGCCAAATGGCTCAAGGTGCCAAAAACACAAGCTGAACATCCTGCCTGAAATTACATCACCCACTCCCACCACCGCAATCTGTAGCTTGTGCCCAGATCACGAACGAAAAGACACAAAGACACAAACAAAACAAACAACAAACAAACAAGCAAACGAGCAAACAAACACCAGCCAACCAAACTACCAAACAAGCAACCAGTCCAAAACCGACCCAGACCAAACCAAACCAAACCAACACACAAAAAAGAAAAACAAACAAACAACAATCAATCGAACAAACAAACAAACAAACAGACAAACAAACAAACAAACAAACAAACAAACAAACAAACAAACACACAAACAAGCAAGCAAGCAAGCAAACAAAGAAACAAAGAAACAAAGAAACAACCAAGCAAGCAAGCAAGCAAGCAAGCAAGCCAGCCAGCAAGCAAGCAAGCAAGCAAGCAAACAAACAAACAAACAAACATCCACACACACATATACATATGCTGCTGTCCAAGGACGAGTGTGAGGGAATTGCTAGTTACTTTGAGGGAACATGGCAATTCCCGCAAGAAGTGTGGCATCAAAGTGAGCCGTGTGTTCCCCTTGCCACGGCCGCGACCCCACTCCAAGGATCTTGGTTTCGCCCACGGCCGTCGAAGCAGTGAACCAGTCCAAGGCACACATGTTGTTTGGGATAAATGGTATGGGCGGCCAAGATGGGGCTGAGTTGAACCTGAAATCAAAACCCATGGCATGCTCAAGACGGGCTATCCGTTCAGCGGCGGCCAAAAATGAAAAATCAGCTGGCCATTGGGCCAAATGAACGACGCTCGCGAGAGGGTGGAAGATGATGGGATGCACCATCCAACAGCGTGGATCGACAGAAAGACAGATTAGAATCAGAAACAACTGATGAACTTGCAGGGCTTCAGCACACTTTTGCGCAGCCAGCTTTCTCCAGTGCGTCAGAACCACTCGCCTGCCCCGCTTGCGGGGCAGGCCGCTTACTTTTCGAAAACGTCCTCCAGCAAGGACCAGGCCCATTCGCCCAGCTGAGCAAGCCCACTCGAAAGATGATTGGAACTTTGACGAGTGGAGTCGCGTCCGGTCGTCCCTTCGATCTCGCCTCATCCTTCGGAGAGTGTCGCTTCAGGATGATCAGCCTGGGCTCAGCGAAGGTTTTGTCTAAAGCCAAGTGGGCGCTGCTTGAAGGCGACCCCATGACTTGGTTCCCTTTGGTTTTGCCTCGTGAACATACACTTAAACATGTCCCCAGCTTCCAAACTGCTCAACCCTACTAACTAAAAAGAACATCTGCCATTTGAGGGCGACAGCTGACTGCTGCAAAGCTGGCAGGTCGGAACATTGGCAAAAACAAACTTGAATTCATGTATGTAGCTGCGTATACATTTGCATACATGAATCGAACATCTTGGCTTCCAGCGGGAGAACGCATTTCCAAGTGTAGTAGCTTCACTGCTATGTGTGCGAAGTGCAGTGTATGAGTGCATGCGTGTCGAAGCTGCATTTCCAAGTGTAGCTACAACATCTTCCATTTGACACGCTTGCAGCTAGGTTTTTCAAAGTACAGTGTCAAAAAATATTTCTGAGCACATTGGTCACCATAAACCCGGTAGGGGGTCCAAGTGGAGTGTAAAGAGATCGCGCGGAAGACGGAAGACCCATGCCCTCTATCAATTGTTTCCACCTGTCCTTGGTCTAAAAGATCTCGGGCAGCTGATTCTCAATGATGGCGCTTTGGGGGGAAACCCTAGGATCAGAATATACGCCAGCATGCATGACACGTAAACCCTTCAATGCTGTACCTGGCAGATTTCTTGTTCCATTACCTTGAGGTCCCCTTGAGCTCACGCCGACGTGAAACAAAGGTTCGGAGACAGGCGCTTGCGGGCAAGGGCCAGGCTTCGGAAGGCCCAAGTCAGCCAAAAAGAGATGCTCTGCAAGCGTATCTGAACTGCCAACCACTTTCCTTCTGCCGCAGAGTTGCACACAATAGTTGCAGTAAACCACGCACTTCCGGAGTCGAAAGCCGCGCAATCAGTCCGAGAACATGCTAACTTGCACCAGTCCCGCCAACACGATTCTCAAAGCGATTCTCAAACTCCAGCAACCAGCTGGGACCAAGTCGCATTGCAGGCGGGGTCTTGGAGGGGTGGTCTGAGGGGTGGTCTGAGGGGTGGTCTGGGGTGCAGCATTTCCTAAGTCAAACCTGCTGGGGATGAAAAATGGGGGCTTGAAAAACAAGCGCCAAACAGGGATGGTGCCCTTGTTTGCCATGGCCACGGGTGGAGGCCCTTCAGTGTTTTTGCTCACCGCTCAGGTGGCTTTGGGGTCTCCGGTCTCCGCCCAGTGCTTCGGAGCGGATCCAAGCTTCCAAGTCCCTTTTCTTCTTTTTTTTGGGCGAAGGCAGAGTTGCATCTAGGTCCTCCAGTAGAGAGGTTAGAACAAGGGTACCCGATTTTTTCTGCTGTCTACTTTAGTAGGGGAACCCTCCCCCAGAAAAGGGTAAAAGGGCACTACTGGGGGACCCAGGCATGACATGGGAGCTTCCCACTCCGACCTTTCCCTCGTCGCCGAATGGCATGCAGAGGTACTCCGCCGTGCAGACCAGCGCCGTCAGAAGCACGCCCAGCACCCCCAGCTGAAAGGCCGTGACCGCCGCGAACGCCACGAGCATCGAGATCCGCCACAGGACCTGCCGAATGCCGAGGCCAGCGGCGGCCAGCGCCGCGTTTCGCTTTTTTCCCGCGGTGGGAGAATTGGAGTTGGAGGGGGGAGAGGTTGAACCCCCGTCCCTTGTTTCAGCGCCTATTTTGGGACAACCCCGATTTGTCCGGCCGGGGTCTAGGTCCGAATCTCCGAATCTTGAGGGTCCTTGGCCTTGGTTGAGACGAAGCCGATTTTTTGGCCGCAGAAGCTTTAAACATATACAAGCCACAACTATCTGTCTCGCTCTCTCCCTCTCTCTCTATTTATTTTCCTTCTCTTTCTCTCTTTCTCTCTTTCTCTCTTTCTCTCTTTCTCTCTTTCTCTCTTTTTCTCTCTTTCTCTCTTTCTCTCTTTCTCTCTTTCTCTCCTTCTCCTTTATCTTTGTCTCCTGCTCTTTTATCTCTGTCTTTCTCTTGCTCGTCTTTCTTCCTCTTTTTGCTTTCTCTTCTTCTTCCGATCCGTTCCGAGCCTGTTCCGAACCCATCCGCACCCGTTTCCGAGACCAAGGTAGCTTTCAGCCCGCCGGAGAAGCCAAAACCCGCAAAGGGTCACTCCTGTTTTGCGGCTTCTATTCCCCCACCACAGTTTTCTCACACTCATTCAGTATTTGTGCGCCAAAACTTCCTTCAACCAGTGCGCGTAACTCGGAAGTTCCTTCTAAACTTGCCTTGACACAGGACACATCTACTGGGCAGGGCAAAGGGTATGCGAGAACGGCCTTGAATGTGCCAGGTCGCCTTGAACCCGTGCTGCCCATCAAGACGTGCCCAACTGCAACACACCGAGACCTATATCTGATCATATCTGCATCAGATCCGGCCATGCAAGAACATGTACTGACTGATGCTCGCATGCTCAGTGCATGATGGTCGTGGGCTTGCTCGGTGGCATTCATTTTATGTCAAGGTGGGTGGGGTACTCATGCCTTGTTCGAAGTGTCCTAATCTTACAGCATGTGGCAAAGATCTTGCGCAGTCCAGCTTGCATACCCAGCATCTTTCCTCATTTGCAGTCAGGATGACATCCGACGAGGATGTGTATACATGCTGAAGGACATTGCTCCCCTAAGCTGGGACAGGGACTCTTTTTCCCATTGCTCCCTCAATCCCCAGTTTCTCAACCAGGAGACATTCCAGTTTAGTTTCATGGGTGCAGGTCGCTTGCTTCCAACTGCAGTAACAAATATGAGGGAATTCCAGCGAAAACATGAATGGCAACAGTCGGGCCGGAAAGCCGCTCTATCAAAGCGCAATGTCCCCAACAGCCGAAGCTGCCCTGGGGTGCCCCTCCCGACATCCATGCACAAAAAAGCACAGCAAGGCATCAAAGTAGTCCCGGCTTAGAAATGCTGGGTAGCATCCAAATGCAATATTTCACCCCAACCATTTGGGGAGCGTGCCGGGTCTTTTGCGTCTGACTCGAACTCATCCGCAGCATCCTCTGCCTCTGCGATGCGGAAGATGATGTGGGCAGCCGGATAGAAGACTTGCAAATATCCGACCTGACAATGGAGGCACGCTGCGACACGTTAGTAAGCATCTCAAAGGGTGACAAATGCTGAGGCAAGTTCAGCATCGAGTCGAGTTGCAGAGGATGCCAGTCTCATTTGTAGGTGAGACCTGTTGCAGCCACTTTTCATTTTCAAAACAAACAGTGCCAAAGCGCGCGGCTATTGGTTTATGTTGGGCTGATGTCAAATCAGAACGCTAAAGAAACCAAGTCATTAGTCAGTAATTCCAGCTACCACTGCATAGGTAACCAGGAAAATTAACAGGTAAAAGCTACAAGAAATCGAAAAACCCTGGTTGCAGCTTTCTTGCTATAGTGGCAACTCAATCACGCAAGCCAACACTTCCCCGACATTCCCGATGACTCAAGACGCGCCAGAAACAGCATGAATCGCATCACCAAATGGAACATGCGTGCCATGATCAAACTCCATGTGTCCTTTGGAAAATCAGGAGGACCCTTCTAGTGCCAATATGGCAGTGGGGCCAAGAATGTGCCCCTTGGCAACTGGAAACGAAGACTAACACCTGCGGTTTGCCCACAGCTCTTTCCTTTTGAGCCACACCCATATCTTTCCCTAACCACCACCTCAACCTTTGTTTCACCCTTCGTGCAGCTTTGAGAACGTGACAGGCTGGCCATCTGCATGTTCGCTCGTCGAACACAAGGCAGTGGCCGAGTTCGGAACCCGAAGTTGACACACCCTCCCAAAATTCGGGCCAAAGCTTAGGTTGAGAGGCCCCATCTGACGAGAGTGAACCAGGGAGGGAGGGAGGAAGGGAGGAAGGGAGGGGCGGAGGGAGAGAGAGAGGGGCCGAGATGAAACTTCAGAAAGCCTTTGCAGGCTGCAAGGTGACGTCAAACCCGAGCTGATGGCTGGTAAGATCCTGCATTTCCCCTATTCCCCCTGCGGGGTAGAAGCCAACCTGGCCAGAACCTTGAGCAAACATGTAACTGGAACACACTTCTGCACGCAGAAATCGAAAAAATCTGAACCCCCCCCCTCCCGCACCTCACCCTCAAAAGTGCTTCGTTGCATTTCAGCCAGGCCAACCTGCTCCCTCTCTGCGGCTCAGGCGCCCTCGACCCCCGGACGCGGAGGTCGAAGTGGTAGCGGCGCGCGACAAAGACGGAGACTGCCAGGTCGATGTCCACCACGTTGATGCTCAGCACCTCCATGGGAAATTGCGTGGTTTTCATCTGGTGTGGGTGGGACATTGGTGGGACACACCTCCAAAAACTGAGGAAGCGCGGAGCTTTTTCTTCAGGAGGACCATGGAAATCGCGTGGTTTTATCTATGCTCAGCACCTCGAAAAACTGAGGCCGCGCGGACCGCTTTTTCAACAGGAGGACCATGGAAATCGCGTTGTTTTTATTTTGTTTTTAAATATATATATATATATAACAATCTTATCTCAGCATCTCAAAAAACTGAGGCCGCGCGGACCGCTTTTTCAACAGGAGGACCATGGGGGAAATCGCGTGTTTGTGTTTAATATATATATATATATGTATATATATATATATATTGTGGGTGGGACATTGGTGGGAAATTGGGGGAGGGCCTGCCCTTTGTCCTTCCCGAACTGGCAATAAACTATCAAACATAGTCAGTGACTGATGTGTGCCCAACCCCGTCTGATAGCCGGCTGTCCAAACGTTTGTTTAAACCGGAAGGGGCCACATCAGAGCTGGAAACCGCAGAGGATCCACAGAGGCCAATGGCTGAAATGAGCCAAGTGGGGCTGCCCTGCGACTCCACGACTCCAGTCACCTGAAATGCTTGAACTCCATACGAGGCATGCCAAGGAACGCGCAAACGAAATCCAGGGCTTCAAACGAATCAGGACCATCCATCCCCTCGCTGTGCTGGCGCTACCATCAATTGGCAGTGGTAGGGGGTCCAATGGACAGAAACAACAACTGGACAACTGGGATATAAAAAGAATGAAAGTCTTTCCAAAGCCAGGCAACGAACCACAAGGTCTTCTTCCCGCAGTTATTTATGGTCAGATCAACCCCCTTAACCGTCTGCCAAGATGTTGATTGTCATCTAGCGAAGTCAAAAGGGACTCCAATCCACAGGGAAGCTTTTGATACTGTGGGTGGACGAAATCCTGCACCACCCAAGAATCCCTGGAATGATGATTCCCCTGTGAATGCCAACAAACAATGGTTTCCCATGCTTTCAAAGTGGAGCAGGATTCCGTCCACCCACGGTACGTCATCAAAATTGCCCCTTCAGCTTTCCCTGAAACCAAACCGCTGGTTCCCTGGTCCGCAGTCCACCCAAAAACCACTTCTCTCGGTGGCGCTGTGAGGGCGGACACCACTGCCAAGCCCAGGATGATCGTGTCCATGGTGCTCTTTAGCTCGCACCTCGCGGCGAAGCGCCGATCAAGCGGCGGGGGCGGAAGAAAGCCTATTTGCCCCACATGCAACCAAAGGCCCAAGGGGTGCTTAAGGTGTTTGGAGAACCGTTCTCGGGCTAGGGGTCCTATCATCTCCCCCGAATCTAACAGTACTGGATCTTGGAAGACCAAAAGGGTAAGTACTTGGAAAGGCAAGGGCCATAAAATCCTCAAATCTGCTTGCCGGATCGCTTGCTCCATGTCTGGTGAGCAACACAGGCATAAAGTCAAGTTGCCCTCCGATTGGGTCCTACATGATTGGGATCATTGGAGCACAAAACCGACTGAGTCCACGGATTGAGCTGCGGATTGCCGCGTCTTTCCCTGCGGCCCTTTTTGGGATGGCTTTAAAGGGGCACAAAAGGAAAAAACCGCCCATTTTGGATCGGTCCCCATAAGACAAGCCCAGTCAGAACTCATCCGTCGTCTGAGGCTTGAAAAGTGTTCTGGGTTGGATAGCTGTGGGTCTGACTCACTCGCTGTGGGGGGGGGAGGGGCAATTTTCACGTCATGTGTGTTCCAAAGTCCGTGCGCCCTCTGGGGCAGGAGGATACAGTACCCCACCAACGAACACCTGGGAGTTTAAGCAGTCCGCTGTGTCTTTACATGTAAAGATATATATAGAGAGTATAGTTATGTAGTGTCTCACAGTGGTTTTACCGAGTATACGTTCAATCGTGGATGACGCGCAATGATGTTTTCTTGACGCTGAGATCCTGGACATCAAAAGCCCCCCATCTTTGTCTAAATGGGTTGCCTTGTCGAGTTGGAGATTTAGGCGGGAATTCAAAGGGAACGTTCCCCATATGTTGGTTGGGTGTTGTGCATGGCATATACCCGAATAAAAGCCTCAATGCATTGTCTTCTTCGTTTGCGCAAAGGCCTCGCGGCAACTTTTGAGCAGAACACAGGGGTAATTCATTCTACCATGACCGTGGCCTTCCGGATTCCCTGCTTAAGGCAACTCTTGAAAGGCAACTCTTGGTCAACAAACCTCGCGACTCCATGTTTGACCCTCATGCACATCAGCTCGCGTCATGCGAACGAGTGACAAGACAACTCTAGGGGACACTTCCCCGTTCTTTCCAGGGATCCTTCTTTCCAGAAAACCCTCACAACCCCAGGGGAAACAGCGATCGGTTTTTGAAAAGAACAATGGTTGAAAAGAATGGGGAATAAACCCCTAGAACAACTGGGAACAACGAAGAACGAACGGCTTCCTCAAAAGTATTTCTCCCCTGATCAACCGGCCCGTACAAACCCCCCAGCCATCCGCAAAGAGGTTGCGCCAGTGGCATCTCATCATCAGATACCCAGTGGGAAAACAAGGGGCATCCTTTGTTGGTTGGTTCCGCCACAATACTCAAGACCCCACTCCCCCCCCAAAAAAAAAGAAAACAAAGTTGACTTGACAGAGGGACCAAAAAAAAAGGAGGAAAAAAAAACGGTCGAACAAACGGGAAGCAACCCACAAAGCAACTGGGCACCACCAAATGTAGGAGTGATAGTCCGCGGGCACCGTGGTCCAAAGATACAGGCGGTAACAGCTCCTACGGGAGAATCGGATGCATGGACCCCACCAGCATCTTGTTTGTCGTGTTTTTTCCCCCGACCCCAGCTGCAAATTGTTTTTTGACTCCAGTGAACATCCCAATCCCCACTAAAAAAAGACCAAAATGGGTTGTGCCCTACCCCAAAATGGTACCATTGGTTTTGAACCATCGCCAAATCTGAAAACTAAGGGATCCCCCAAGTAAAAGGATCTTTAATGGCTTCTGCAAGTTGTGTTCTATCATTCCAAAACCTGAAAAATTAAGGGATCCCCGAAGTAAAAGGATCTTTAAGAATGGCTTGTGCAAATTTACTATCATTCCAAAAGCTGGAAAAGTTAAGGGATCCCCGAAGTAAAAGGATCTTTAAGACTGGCTTCTGCAAATTTACTATCATTCCAAAAGCTGGAACAATTCAGGGATCGTCCAAGTAAAAGGATCTTTAAGCATGGCTTCTGCAAATTTACTATCATTCCCAAAGCTGGCAAAATTAAGGGATCCCCCAAGTAAAGGGATCAATAATCGAGGCTTGAGCTCATTTTACCCCCGAATCGGTTGACATAACATCGGCAGATCGCTCTGGAGGGGGCGCAGGTGAACCAAAAGGCTCGGAAGAAGAACAGCTGCCTACACACGTTCAAGCCATTTTCATGTCACTCGAGTGCATGGGCAAAAAAAAGTCCCCAGACTGTTCATTTACCATTGAAATGGTCTTCCCAAAAAGCTGTTAGAATCCAGGAACCCGGGAAGTGGGAGATGATGGCGCATGGTGCTACTGTTTCTCCCTATGAGCGCGTGTTTGTTGGTCGGGGTCCAAATGATTCCAAATCTAATTCAGGACATGCGGAAAACTAGCAATGCCGGATGGAGATCAACCAAAAGGAATAGAAACAGCAACCAGTTGCAAACGAATCTTGCGCAAGGTCAAACATTGAAAACGCACTCGTTTCTTGCAAGCAAGGTGAAGCACATGCGACAGTAGCGCATCACAATCTAGGGGCCTGATCCTTGATTGCATCGCTGGCAAAGCAATGGCCCCGTATCGGACAAATCCATCACAGCGTTTCCGCAACTCGACAGATTCTCTCATCCCAAACACGATGAAGTCACTGGAAAACGCATCTCAGAGGTTCCCTCCACGTGCAACTCCTTGTAAGGAAGGCGTAAATCGTGCAGGGCAGGAAGGGCGCATTGGTGACGATCGCCACCGGCAAGCCCCTCTCTGCACCCAAAGCCGGAGCTGTCCACATGAAGTCCTGGGAAAATTTCCAGCAGTCCATCTAGATGTCCTACCCGCACTGGATGCCAAGAAAATAGAAAACCACATGTTTTTACCTAAAACACGGCATGTTCTGTGAATCCATATCAAGTAGGGGTCCCCATTCTGGCTGCAATGAAGCAAATCTGCCTGTTGGTACGTTGAGGAATACATTGCTCGGTGTGGATTGCATCCGTGGAGCGAATCTGCATAGTCGCATAGTCATCAACCCTCAATTGGGCGGACCTTCTGACTTTGCAAGCACCCTTGGGACCCTGTCAGCGCCTTCTAAGGCCAAACCTCTGGCCGTGGTTGGGTCATGCCTTGATATCTGACTTTGAATGACAAGAGTGCAAAAAGCGGACAGCGCCGGAAAGGACTCAGCAATATTCAGGGGAGAGGGCGTAACAGACCCTCCCGTGCAGAACAGCCTGCTGCTAAAAGCGGCAAAGGATCAAGGCTGAAACACGCAAGCTGGATTGTTAAGCGACCTCCTCACGCACGCTCAGGTTCAGTCCAGAGGCAAAAACAAGGATGCCAACAAAGGCAGGCGTCTCATTCGTGTGATTGGTGGCCCAAACAACTCGACTCTAGGCCCGCTCTCATTTGCCCCAACACCATCTAGGTGGTGTGCTTTCACCGCTGGCCGTTGGCCTGTTCGCAGGTCATCATAGAATCATGGCGCCTGTTTGAGAGCCACCGACGCATTCTCCACTTAGTGTGTGTCAGAAGTCGTTGCCCTCAGAAGTATTAGTCATGATTGGGGATAAACAAAAACCCTCAACAGTCATGGAAGCTGAGAACTCCCTTGTCTACTTCCATGATTGTTGGAAAGGGCCGACGTTGACACCAGATAAATAAACCCCAGTTTACTAATATGGGAGCGTCTTCCCCTCCAAAAGTGGTCTAAAAGCCCACTAAACCCACAGAAAACACCCCTGTATTAAACCAAACCGGTTGGTTCATTAAAACCCGGGGTCAACGAAGACACCCACAGCATCCTTACTCTAATATGATGTCTGTTGTGAGGCGTTTTGGATGGTTCGAAAGGGAAACCACCCATATGACGCTTAACCTCGTTTTGGCGGGCGCCTGGTCGTCCAAGCTCTGCAGCACCTCCGCGTTGGTGAGCTGCCGTGCCCAGGCGCGCTTCACGTGGATCACCTCCCAAAGAGCCGTCAGGTCGCATCGGTCGTCGCCGGGGGGCGCAGAGTTTGGACGCCCACAAGAACCAGTGGTTTGAACCCTCCCCACACCACCAATCAAAAAGCGCTTGATTGTTTGGATGAGGGTGGTTTCCCATTCACCCTGGACAGGACCAGTGGTTCAAACCCGCCCATCCAACTTGCCTGAAACTCTGGCCACACCAAACTCTGGCCACATCACAAAGCTAAAAAGAGCAGGGCTCTGCACTGGAAAGAGGTCCCCGTTGGCACGGCAAGCTAAGCGCTGTAAACAACTTCACAGTAGGGCGGAACGTTGATCGCGCGGCAAAATATCAAGCGACGGCACACCAGAACTGCAATGCCAATATTCGACGGCTTGCAACACAGTTTGTGTGCTTCAGGTGGGTTCGCAACCTGTCAATCATGTGAGCGAGCGGCTGGAGGTCATAGCTCTTTGTGTAGTGAGGTTTCACCCACACAGTCTGACAGACAGGACTTGGAGAATCAACCATGCCTTGCGGCGAGCCTTGCGGTTGATCTTGGTCTTCCTTTTCTCGCGGACCACGTTGCAATGCGTCGCCTCTAGCAACTTGAGCTTGCACGGGCGGGCACTTTCAGATTTATCACTGTGCAAGATGACTTTGCGGCCTGCGTCTTTGCAACTGGCCGCGCCGCTCCCCTTCCTGATTGGTCCAGGCCCTGGCGGCTGCTTCTTGGTCATGAGTGGGTTAAGCCTGAAGAGCGCAGGCGAGGCTCCACGGGTCCCCGCTGCTCCTTTGCGCTGACCTACCTAGCCCACTAAACTCTCGTCGGTCAACTTGCCAACGTCGAGCCCGTTGACTTGTCCTCCCATTCTCGACCAAAGGTGGTGTTTGTTCATGGCGACCTGCGGGCACGCGACCTCGAGGTTCTGGTAAATGCGCCCCGCCGGTTTGTGATCCATATCCAGGAGCAGGCACGCTGCGTTGCATGAGACTCCCGCGCAGCACTGCGCAGAACAAGGCCGAAGTGGAGTTGAAGAGTTGCCAGCAATGCAGAATCAGAGTCAGCAGGCTCCCTTTTTTCTAGCGGCTCGGAAAAGTGCAGGAGCAGTCCAAAGGCGCGTGATTCTTATCTAGCAGGCTGCAAGAAATACATCCTGTGGCAAGGGCACTCCGTCTGGTCGAATGACCATCGCGCCATCCAGACCAACCTTGAAATGCATGCCATTGAAGCTGAACGCTTAGATCCTTAGATGGGCAAGAGATGGAAAGAGCAGAGACGACAGCGCAAAAAGCCCATGAGAGACTGCAGTCTTCGAGTCGTAGTGGCTTATGAATTCTGCCAAGTGGCCACATGGCAAATCACCCGCCTTTGCATGCCTTTCCCGGCCTGTGCGGACTTGAGCCAGGATTGGCGCTCCTTGCCTTTTGCCCCTCGAACAACCTCCAGTGGAAGTTTGGCCAGAAGTAGGTCGGCCATTCTGCATTAGGGCTGCAGAGACAGTCAAACTGCAGAGCCAGAACTGAGGTCATAAACCGCGGCAAGGCCAAATCTGGATCATAGGGGGATGTCAGCATATGTAGAGAAGCATATGTAGATATGCTTATATATATATACACATACATGTATATACATTTACGCAAGACAGGTTACGAAATTGCACTTTTTGAACCCGACGGTCGGGTCCGTGAGATAAAATGATCGACGCCCCCAGCATCACCAGTAGTTTAGTAAAGGAATGTGATTGCTTTGGAAGAGGACATGTTTGTTTTTGTTCTGCTTGCTAAAAGTGGCGGTCAACAGCATCACCAGTGTTTTAGTACAGGAAGCGCATTTCCGCTGAAAACAAGTAGACTAAGTGGTCGACACCTCCAGCATCTCTAGTGTGTTCTTAAAGGAAATAATTTCCAACCTTGCTAAATGTAGATCTCGCGATAGATTGTACATCAAGTGGTCGGCACCCCCAGCATCACCAGTAAAGCAAAGAAAACGTGTCTTACTGAAAATAGATGTCGCGATGGCTTGAAGATGAAGGGGGGCGGGGTCGACACCCTCAGCATCACTAGTGGTTTGGTAAAGGAGAATAATTCCGCTTTCTAAAGTAGATGCCGTGATAATTCGTACACAAAAGGGTAGACCCCCAGCATCACAAGTATTTTGGTAAAGGAATCTTGTTCAGCTTACTACAAGTAGATGCTGCGATTTGCGATATAGTGTGTAGATGAACTGGTCGACACCCTCAGCATTGGCAATGCTTTCGTAAGGAAAATGTTCTTCCGCAAGCGATTCAGCGTATTCAGCGTCAGTAGGTGCGAAATAAGTTCCCGGGACAGCAATCGTCTGGAGTTTAAACGTTTGTTGTGAAGAAGACGGAAAGAGCACAAAGGTTTAGGACGGAAGAGGCAAGTCAAACAGAATGAAGCAAAAGTGACCCTTAGCAGACCTATACAAACGCAAGCTGTAACTAAGGCTTGTTCCCGTATTGACTGTGTTCGACACACGCCACATGTGCATACTGCATGCATATGTATACATCATATTTGGCATTGTAACGAGCTCACCTGCCGGGGTGTGTGGGTGACGTATGTTCGATTCGCAAATCAAAAGATTTTGGCTGATTTGTTATGTGATTTCCGGGTCAGCCTGAATGTATTGCACACAGTATGTGTGGGTCCAAATTAAACCACCACCAAAAAAACGCAGGTGTTGGCGGTGTTGGTCCTTGGTTCCTTTACTTCCACTTTGAGTATTTTGTTTACCCACCGACCTGTGAACCGGGAGGTTCCCTTCACCACGCCTGATGGCCACTGCGTGCAATCTTCGCCGCTTAGGACGGCTGTGGCGCTTTGGATAATTTTCGAGAAGGATGCAGACCTAAATGCATTGCTGATTGCGAGGGTCCCTTGCCTTGCTTGCATTCCATGTAGCATCGATGGAATCAAATCCAGTATTGAACATGGGCAAATACTGTACGTGCTTGGTTTCAGCGATTCAGGCAGAATCTCCTTTATCCACAAAGATGCTACATCCTCATAAGACACATGTGCATCATGCATTTGCCCCAACCCACAATTCAACCCTCCAGATCTTGACGTAAGACTCAGGAAATCCTCGTTTTTGGTGTTCCCCTTTGCCTTCAACTCACTTCCTGAGCAGATTGGCCAAAATGAAACTTTTGATTTGCCCCAGGATGGTCCAGACCCAAAAAGTGACTAAAGTCCGAAACGGAACTCAGGAAGTGAGGATGGACAGCTGATGAAGTGGTGCTTCAGAGATGCTCTTTGGGTTGGCCCTAGGTGAACAGGTTGCACCTCTGCAGACAAGAAGGAGCCTAGATCAAACCACCCAAGCTTTTTCTAAGTTGGCGTTGAAGGGGGAGCAAAAACTTGAATGTTAGCAGTTGAGTGGGGATTTCCCAGCAAACCAGAAAAGCAAACACGCAAAATGTGTACCAACAACAACTAGGTCCTCCAGTAGAGAGGTTAGAATAAGAGTACCCTTTTTTCTGTCGTCTATTTTTGCAGGGGACCCCTCCCAACCAACAAAGGGATGAAAAGGGGCACCTAGCTGGGGGACCTAGATAACCACAATTCTAGGGCTACTTTCCCCATTCTTTCCAGGGATTCTCAGGAAACCATCAAAAACCCAGGGGAAACAGCTGGGTTTTGAAAAGAACGATGGTTGAAAAGAATGGTTGGAATCAACCCCTAGTTACGTGAGATCAAAAGGAACACCACCATGGATTCTTTAAGGGTACCCCCATTTGGTTGGATTTCAAACAGGGACCAACATGAAAGCACACCCATTTTTGTCTTTACCATCACCGACTTCGTAGCTCCAAACAGAATTTCTGAACCCTCCCAACCACAAAAGGGGTGAGAAAGGGCACCACAGGGGGACCTAGTCAAAATGGTGGACCCCCGTTTTGGTTGGTACTCACAGGGATTCCGGAAACCAACTAAACTTTACAGACCACAAGTTTGTCAACCCCTCATGTGACACCACGGTGTTACTCCATTTGTGAGGGGCATGGTCATGCTTTTGATAGGAATCCTTAAGCCCCCAACAAGGGATGCATGATCATCCTTACAGCCAGAAAATGGGTCTTTTTATCACGGCACATGGGGTGGGGGGGTTCGCCGGCTTTTGGCCTGACAGAGGCCCAGCACCAGGAAGGCGAAGAGCCCAAAGAGCAGCCGTCCCAGCAGGGAGCAGCGGCAGCTGAAGCGTTGCACGTCCGCATCCCGCGCGGTGATGCGGACCTGCAGAGGAAAAAAAAAGCGGGGGGAGGAGGTGTGTGTGTGTGTCTTCAGACTGCGGTTGGCCCCTTTAAAAAATATATCAAAAAAAAACGAGCGTGTGTCTTCGGACTGCAGTGGGCTCCTGATTCTTTATGGATATATATATATATATATGTATATTCATTTATTTAACGGGGAGATTCGTGTGTCTTCAGACTGCAGTGGGCCCCTTAAATTATTTATCTAAGGAAAATATCAACTCCAGATTGGGAGAGAAGAGCTTTTCTGGGCATTCGGTCAGGTTACGTGAATATCCGACAAGGAAAAACATGGGGCCCGGTGTTCGGGTATTGATTTTGCAACGCGCAAGCCACGATCGCTGATCGCAGCAATCAATTTGTAGATGCTGAGCAGAAAAGGGAGAATTGCTACGGCCTTGCAGCACATGCATTCAGAATGCTCAATCCTTACCATGTAAAACCAGCGCGCACACGTCAGGGCTGGTGCCGAGGCTGGGCATGGAGAAGGCCCGTTATGGGGGTTTGGGGAGGGAGGGGAGGGCGAGGGAGCCCAAATAAGCCCTAAATAGGGCCTTGAAAAGGCCATAATAAGCGTCTTTTTTGGTTCCCTCGCCCCTCCCCTCCCTCCCCCCCCGGCCCCCATGATGTCGACGACTTTCGGTGACGAATCACTTCGCAAGTGCTGTGGGCGCCTTTCGATTGCGGCTCTTGTCTTTTTTTGTTTTCTTTGGTGGCGGGTCATTCGATAACGTTCAATTGTTGAAGTCGGGCAGGAAAATCGCAAGTAGAAAACACGTGGACGGAGCTTTCAAGCGAAGATCCCTTGCCGTTGGATTGCCACATGGCTGACATGGTTGTTGCTAAGTTTTGCATATGAAAAGGTTTTGAGCCGTTTGAAGCTTCTATTTTCCAACTCGTTTGGTGTGCTCCACACGCGGTGTTAGCGTGCCTTTTTCGAAAACAACTTGTTTCATAGGGTCCTGGCCACTTGATCTGATACCGTGTCCCAACAGTGCAATTCCTATGGATCGGGAAAGCAGCTGGAAAAGGAAGCTGGGCACCAAAGAAGAACTAGCTAGGTGCCAGCTCTCTCTCTCTCTCTCTCTCTCTATATAAATATATATATATATATATGTATATGTATACATAGATATATGCATATGTATACATATGCAAAACATATCTATGTATACACATGTATGTATGTATATATATATATATACACACCTCTCTCGCTCTGTGTCTTTCTTAAATGATGGACAAAGAATCAGTGGGCTTCAGGCATGCAGAGTACTGGGAGCCCCGGATTAATACACCCCTGAAGTTGATGAATCGCATGGGTGTCCCTGGTTTAGTGGGAGGGGAACACACCCCGCCTATAACTTGGACCGCATTAGTCCGTTGCTGACCCTCGTCCCCGGTCACGTCGTCACATCCACAAAACCCTGGCACAACACGACGCGTCAAGCAAAAGGAGCGACGTGTTCTTTGGAGCGAACCTGCATAAACAAATGAAGCATGCGCAGATCCAGGGAAGCCGCCAGCTCGCATTTGAATGGGCTTCGAGTCCGCTTAGCTTTTCAAGAACCCAACTTGAAATTGAGCCTACGCTTCGCATTCGGATGTCTTTACATACTTTCATATATATATATATACATAAAAGGAACGCTGTCACTCGCATTGTTAAAAAAAAAGGAGACACTGCCAGGCGACGCCGTTTGCTCGCTCCACCCCGCAGCCAAAGCCAAAAACGCATCGCCCCAGGACCATCCCCCGACGAGCTGCGGACAAAAAGGCCCCGAAAAGCTCGAAGAAGCCCTGCCAGGCCACCTAGGTCGATGGTCCGTTGTTTTTGTTTCTTTTCTTTTGTGTGTGTTTTCTTTTTTTGTGGGGGGGGTCTATGCTAAACCCAAGGGGAAAAAACATGTTTCTTTTTCTTTTTCATTTTTTTTTGTTGGGGGGGGGGTCTATGCTAAACCCAAGGGAAAAAACATGTTTCTGTTTCTTTGTGTTTTTTTTTGGGGGGGTCTATGCTAAACCCAAGGGAAAAAACATGTTGCTTTGTCCTTTTTTCTTCTTTTTTTTTGGGGGGGGTCTATGCTAAACCCAAGGGAAAACACATGTTTCTGTTTATTTGTCTTTCTTTCTTTTTTTTGGGGGGGGGGTCTATTCTAAACCCAAGGGAAAAACATGTTGATTGTTCTTTTTCTTTTTTTGTCGGGGGGGTCTATGCTAAACCCAAGGGGAAAAACATGTGTTTTTTTTGTTTTTTGGGGGGGCGAGGAGCTATGCTAAACCCAAGGGGAAAACACTTGTTGTTGCTGTATTTATTTATTTATTTTTTCGGCGAATTTATGTGGAGGAAACACAGGGGGAACAAAAACCACTTTTTTGGGGGGTTGGTTCCAGGTGGATAAAGATTCTCGTTGGGGTTTTGGGGTGAAAGGACGGTGGACGAAAAAAGCGGAGAAACACACATAGATTTATCATGTGTTGTCACTTCTTGTTTGGGGGAAGGGGCCATTTTGGTGGACCAAAAGGGAAAACACTTTTTCCTTGTTTCCTGTTTTGGGGGGGCGGCGGAGGGGGGGGGGATCCCAATTTCGATACGCACCCCTGTGTTAAACCCAAGGGAGAAAAACTGGTTGTTGCTTTTGTTTGTTGGGGGAGGTCCCCAATTTTCATGCACAGTGACCACTTCTTGGGGGATCCCCAATTGTGGTACGCCATTTTGCGTCGGGTCCCCGATACGGGTGTGTACTTCGGGGGACCCCCCTTTTGATTAAAATTTAAAGGGAAACCAACAAGAAACCCACCCTTTAAAATCTACAAAACCCGCTTTTTCAGACAGACCCATGCGTGATGAATCTCTGAGTTTCCCTCGGCGCAAAAAAAACAAAATGGCTTCTTCTTGCTGGTGCAATAGGTAGGGAATGACCTTCTTTCGGGGTGATTCCATGTTTCATTCCCTGCTGAGCACCAAAGGCTTTCAGCTCGCCCTTTTGCCACCTAGCAAGCTTTGACCAGCTGACAACCCTGCTTCCCATCATCGGTGTCATTGCTTGGAACTCATTTGTTTGCAGGACAACGGAGCAGTTTTGGATATAGGACATAGGGGTCTGCCGAATACTTGCATGTGTTGGGTACAACCTCCTGAAAGGAACCAGACCTCTCTAGGGCTGGGACTGCACCGTCATCAACACAGCCCCTAGGAAGTGTCTACAAATCCTCACGAGGATTTGATGTCTATATTACCATGAGGCGGTGTCAAGAGGGCGTAAAGGTGTCACCTAGTGAAGTTCGATGCCAAGCTCTGCCGGATGCAAACAACAACACACTCACACTCACACACACACACAGACACACTCACACACACCTGCTCGGTAACTAGAATGTCTGACTCGACTGCATGCAGGTAGTGTAGCATACAAAAATGCCTGTCACTGTACGATACCAGGATCGATCCCAAGCGTGCTGCAAAGCTGAGTCATGCTGGTGTCCGAGTGGCCGCAGCGTACTTCTCGTGCTTTGCGAAAAGGTAAATGCAGTAGCAGCGCAGGACATTGTTTGCAATCACCGTGCACGTCACGACCAGGAATCGCATGCCTCAACATGCCGAAGTCTGAAAAGTGTGCCAGGCTTTGACAAAGCATCACTGGTCAGCCCAAATCCTACAAATTCACCTATCTGCGTGCTACTCTGGCTTGCCCAACAAGGAGGACAGGCACAAATCAACTTGTCATGTCGAAATCTGAAAATTCAGATTTGCAAGACGTCATGAGCAGGAATTAGAACTCACCCAGCTGGTTCATGCCCATCGAGAGGCTTGCAAGCGACCCGCCCCCCCCCCCAACCCCGGCGGCCACAGACAGACACACACACACACAGAGAGAGAGAGAGAGAGAGAGAGAGCGCACACATAAGGGAATCAATTCGTTGAGTGTCCACCGATCAAAAATCAAGGTCAACTCCAGATCCCTTTTGCCGGCATGAAGGCATGCCGGCATGAAGGTAAAGGTTCTATGCCTGTACACCATTCTGTTTAACCACCCTCCCCCCCAATGCAGCAGTGGAGGCCGGTGGAATGGATTGGAAGACCATTCCAACCATATTTTTGACGCCCTGCGCTTCTGGAAACAACGATTCATCGGTTGATTCCTCGACCGGTTCAAGGGGACACCGCTCTGTCCCAAGGGTTGACCCCTTCGGGATTGATTGGAAGGGCAACACACAGGAAACCAACAACCTGAAGGAGCTCCCAACTTTGAAGCACAACGGCATACAGCCTGGGAAATCTGATTGTGCTTACACAAAGTAAAATAAGGGAGCCGACATAAAGGAACGTTCGCCAAAGCCAATTCACAGGTCGCGATTTGATTGGCCCAGATCTATGATGGGGTTGTCGGTTTGTCTCCTAGAACTGAAAAACCAATGGAAACCAATGGAAACCAATGGAAACCAATGGAAACCAAGGAAACCAATGGAAAACAATGAACACAATGGCAACCAAGGGAAACCAATGCAAACCGATGAAACGAAAAGACAACCAAGGGAAACCAATGGAAAACAATGGAACGAAAAGGCAACCAAGGGAAACCAATGGAAACCAATGGAAAACAATGGAAAACCATGGAAAACCATGGACAACAATAAACAAGGGCAACAGAGGGAAACCAAGGGAAAACAATAGAAGACCATGGCAGCCAACCTTCAAACATCCTGGTTTCTCTTTCAATCCTGAAAAGGGTACCAACTCCAAGACGCCTGGCTGAATCATTTTACCAGTCACCTAAGTGGTAGGTGACTTAGAAAACAACAAAAACCCACCCGACTTTGATAACCCACCGTCGAACGAAAGGTCCGTAAAACATGGGAACACCATCAGGGAAACTAGCAAAACAAATGACTTTCCCCACACCGGAAAAGTAACCCATGGTCCAAGGGAATATTGATCAAACCCCCCAATCCATGTGTGTGTGTGGCTCGTCTCTTTCTGAGGGCACTCTTTTTGAGTTGGTTTAAAGGGAAGCCGACAGGACAACCACCAAATTTGCAGTTCCCCTAAAAAGACACACCCCCACCTTCATTTGCTTAAGCCCCCTCAAAGAATATCTGAACATATGTCCAGTAGTGATAGATTCCGCTTAAAACTACGGGACAATGATAATGATAATAATAATAATAATAATAATAATAATAATAATAAAATAGCTGAAATGGAAGCCCATGTCTCTAGGGGATGATGCTCCATTCTTTGCAGCCATCGTTCTTTTCAGGAAATCTTGTTGTTCTCCCTGGGTGGTTTCTAGAAAACAGGCATCCGGGAAAGAATGGAGATGGCAGCTTCCCCTGGAGCCCTTGGCATTTGCCGTGGGACCCATGGCACGGAGTGTGGCCCGCAGACTCTCCTTTAACCATCGTTCCTTTGAGAAAAACTTGCTGTTTGCCTTGGGTTGCCGGAGGTTTTCTACTAGGTCCTCCAGTAGAGAGGTTAGGGTTTAGGGCACCCACTTTTTCTGTAGTCTATTTAGGGGAACCCTCCCTTCCCCACAAAAAGGGGTGAGAAAGGGCACCTAGCTGGGACACCTAGATGTTTCTCTGCCAACATCGCTGACTAAAGCCGCCTTTTCACAGACTAGCTCCCACCGCCTTTTCTAGAACAACTTGCTGTTTTCCTTCCTAAGAAGGATCACTGGAACTGGGTCCCGAAGCGACCCGACAGATCCCCAGGCGCTGCTGTGCCACCGCTTCGGCGGAACCGGGCTCTCCGAGCCCGGGCCCGGGCCCGGGCCCGCCCCTGGCGCCGAGGCCCGAGTCCCGAAGCGGATGGGAGGCGCGAAATCGGATGCCCACCCCGCTCCCCACAGCAAAGAAAGGCAAAGAAAGGGGGGGGAGGGAGGGAGGGAGGGAGGGGGGAGGGAGGGGGGGAGGGAGAGGGAGAGGGGCAGGGAGAGGGAGGGAGGGGGGGAGGGGGGGAAGGAGAGGGAGAGGGGCAGGGAGAGGCAGGGAGAGGGAGGGTGACGGCCCAGGGATCTAAGAAAACACCAAGGTGTCACCTGAAGACCTGAATGACAGGGCACTTCATATTCTGTCCGCTTTCAGATGCCCTGCGAAAAGTGACTCACTTTTAACGGGGGAAATGGAAACCCAACCACTAAAGCCAAGCTAAAAAGCTGGACACCAAGGGTTTGATCCGCCTTTTTAAAAGCCGGCCCAAAGGGGCAGCCTCGACAAAAGGAACGTGAAGGTTGGCTTCCACGACCAGAACGAAACAGCCAAAGTGGTGTCTAAACAAATCGCGCTTTTGGGCGAAAAATGCAGGGTCATAGCCATGCATCGCCCAATTGTTTCGATGATCCCGGACCCTAATTACGTTCGAGCTTTTGTGCCAAGCACCGTGACATGGAACTAGTTAACTAGTTCGTAGGTACCAACATCCTACGGCCCACTTCAGCCAATCCTAAACAGGGTGACTAATCTGCCTGATTGGGATAGTGATCAAGGCGAGAGTTTCTGCCTATGATAGCTCACTTTACGTCTCAAAGGCTCTGCTGACAAATCCTGCTTTCCTTGTTTTTCTTTGGGATGTGTTTGTTCTGTTCCGGATCGGATTTACCCAGGCTGGACAATTGCACAAAGATCGTTTCTGAACCTCCCCTGGCGTTTTTGGGCGTTCGAGGGTAAAGTGCATCATCAACTGTGCCACAAAAATGCGGGCTTGGTCGGTAGGTCCAGGGTGTGTTCAGAGTTTACTTCGGTGGGATTTAGAGCATATATGGCTGTCAGCCATTCTTCTAGGGGTACCTTCCCCATTCTTTCCAGGGATCCATCTTTCTAGAAAACCTCCGGAAACCGAGGGAAATCGGCCGGTTTTTGAAAGAACGATGGTTGAAAGAATCAACCCTGGAATTCTGCCGCACTAAGGTCAGCCTTATCCCCCTCAGCCGGCCACAACCAAGCAAACTCAGTGCCTCATTTTGCGTCCCACGACTTGGACAAAGCAACTTTTGAAAGGTACCGGCCCCTGGTCTGGACAGCCTTCAAGCAGCAAAAACTCTGACTAGGTCCTCCAGTAGAGAGGTTAGAATAAGGGTACCAACTTTTTTCTGTAGTCTATTTTAGTAGGGGAACCCTCCCTTCCCCAAAAACGTGGTGAGAAGAGCGTTGGCACCTAGCTGGGGGACCTAGCTGATAATATGTAACCTCGTTGCCCGCAGCCAACATTTACCAATGCCAAGGAACCCCAGCAACTGGGCCCCCCCATCAAGCCCCCCCCAACAACCCCCCCGCCCCCCCACCAACCCCATGCCAGCTCAATCCCACAACCCCCATCAAACACCATCCCCCCCCTCAAACCCCATCCATCAACCCCCCATCAACCAACTCAACCTCTTCCCCCCCCCATCCCCCCCCCTATCCCCCCCATCCCCAACCCCATCCCCCCCCCCAACTCAACCCCCCCCCCCCTCCATCAACCCCCCCATCCCCCCATGCACCCCACCTGTCTCCTCCACGAGGTAGCTCCTCAGCGCCACCATGGCGCTCTCCAGCGACCCCCGCGTGGATCTCAAGGAGCTCCGCTGCGAGGGCACCGAGGCCTGAGGCTCCACGGCCTCCTGTCCGACGGACGCCGCGTTGGGAGACCATCGCCAACCCCTTTGCTCCCCCCTGTTTTTTTGTTGTTGTTGTTTTTTTTTTTTTGGGTTTTATATATATATATATATATATATTTAACACCGCCATTTGCGTTTGGCGTCCCCTGGAAGAATGAGAAACTATGTCCAGTAGTGATAGATTCCCTTTAAAACCAAGAGGGGAAAAAACTTTCTTAACCAAATGGAAGAATATTTTTTTGCAGGGCAGCCTTAAAGGAACACCACCATTGTACGGGGCTGTCTGCAAAGACACACGGGTGGTCATAAAAAGACAAAACTCGGGAAATACTCCGATCCCATACTTCCACGTGGCAAAAACGGTGCGGCTTCAGGTTGCCTTTCTCGTGGTTTAAGGTTGGTCGCTGGGCTTAGTCTGGGCTTACGGCGGACGGATTGGTTTCGGGTGGGGCTGAGGGTGGCACGGTGTGTGTTGTGGCTGGTTTGTGGCTGGTGTGTTTGTTCCTGGGATTAGGTTGCTTGAGGCTAGGTTTTGGAGCTTAGGTTATTGGCATATCCAAAGGCAGCCAAGGGACAAAAACTGCCAAAGGAGCCATTGTGCAACTATAGGTGGTCTGGATCAAACAGCTGTCCTGCAAGAGGACAGTGATCCCAACCTTTCGGCAAATCTCATCTTGGTCGCTGTTGACCCCTCTGCAAAAACTAATTAACTTTTTGCTGGAAAGGTCCCACTGTTTCCACCAAACATGTGACAAAGTCCAAAGATCCGTTGCCGAATAGCCATCAAGTCATAATGATTCTTTCAATCCTTGTTGCACGGTTGAGCCGATGTCTCAAACCCAAAGGCCAATGGTAGTGGAGTGAGGCTTTGCCTTTCCCATTGCAAAGGCCTAAGGCACATGTCCTCCCTTCCTTGACGTTCAAAGGGCCTGGCAAGGCCTAGCTTGGCTCTTTGAGCAGCTGTTGGAGAAGACATCGGCTAGCATGGAAGTCTCTAGATGGACGAATATGTTTGAGAAATGCTGCGGGTGTTTTCGAACATATACGGATGAAGTTGAAGCTCAAACAAGTTACGAAATAGCGCAGGGGGAAACAGGGAGGTCACTTCATTGGAACACAAAGCTCCAGAGTGCGGACAGAGGCGGCTTAGGTTTTGCATGCTCCACTCTACAACCCGATCCGTTCCTTGGATTGGGGCTCCGGTGTTGATTTCCTCAGTGCCGCCCTGAGCCGAGCCTAATTTAATGGGATGCCGCTTGCAGCGGCACAAATCACTCGAGGAAACTACGTGAGACGCCTGCTGAAGCGATATCACCGTCCCCGGACGCCTTTCTGGTGTCAATTCAGTGTCAGTGCCAGGGTCCAAACTTGTGTAGGCCATGCTCACGGTTCCCTTACAGGCTATCCTTATGGTTGTGATGGTCGGCCAACGTCCCTAAGGGGTCCGTGACCATGCCAAGCAGGAAAAACAAAATAAAAAGAGGGGAGATTCCCACTTGTATCACAAAGAAGTGGTTGGATAAACCCCAAGTGGTCAACCACAAGCCTGCTCCCAAGCAAACCGGCAGCGCCCACCGAGCGACCGAGCGACCGAGCGACCGAGCGACCGAGCGACCGAGCGACCGAGCGACCGAGCGACCGAGCCGCGGGCCTCGACCAAGGGGCTGCGGCGACTGCCCGCAGAGGCGCCGGAGAGGGACAGCTCGATGGCGCTGGGCGCGCTCTGGCCGCTGGAGCCTTTAGTTTTTGACTCGACTCGAAATCCATTTGCGCCACTGGGAAAAACGAATGGAAAACCGATGTTCATGGGGATTACTGTAAAACTATATAAAACCATTTGCTGTTGGTATTGACAGAATTGGAACGAATCACATGGGAGTGGCTCAAAATTAAAGAGCTTGGCTTACGCAGGTTTTAGTCTTTGTTTCCGTTTACCCGGGGGCCAATATGTGGGTCCATTTTTGTTGAGCCACTACCACATGGAAACCATGGAAAATCATTGTTCATTGGTATTGACAGGGGAACCGAGAATCATTCCAGGGTTTCTTAGGTGGTGCGAAATGGAGTTCGTCCAACCACACGCGGCCACACGCGTCTCAATCACGCAAGCGGACTTAAAGGTGAGGGAAGACTTTTTAGGAGCCTCCACTTCCACTTCCACTTCCATGCTTGCTGGGAAGAGGGTGATCGCTTCCAAACCATCTCAGTTTGGGTGGACTCAGAGGGAATGTGCGAAGAAACAGCCTTGGGAAGACGGAAAGGAAGGCGACTATCTGATAGGGCCGTCTCACACTTTTACACAGAAGTTATAGACAATGAACAACAAATTATGAAGAAGTCCTTTCCAGTCTTGCCTTCCGCTTCAGTTTGGGGGGGCTTCCGCCAGTTGACCATCTTGTGCCAAATTGCACTGCCTTGCCACGGGTGTTCAACCACAACTGTCAGGCCTCCCCAAATCAACCGACGCAAAGGTGGGTTGGCTTTGCAGGTTGCTGCAAGTCACGCCCTTGACACGACCCAAAGGGGTTCAACAAACCCATTTCACACCGGTCGAAGAATCACAGATCAGATGATCACTTGTGCTCCAGTGTTACTATACATGCTGTTTTGAGGGGGGCTGTTAAGATAGGGGGAGGAGACCCCATTAGTTTCCATGGTTGTGCATTGGTTTCCATTGTTTCCGTTGGTTTCCATTGTTTTCCATTGGTTTTTATTGGTTTCCATTGGTTTCCATTGCTTTCCATTGGTTTCCATTGGTTTCCATTGGTTGCATTGTTTTCAAATGTTTTCCATTGTTTTCCCTGTGTTGATGCCTTTCTGGGCAGGCATCAGCTTGGAGTTTGGTGCCTCAAGACATTTGACTCGCTATGCCGCCAAGCGGCGGGAGGACGACTTCGGGCCGCTGACCACCGACATGGCGGCGACATCCAATGAGTCCAATGAATCCAATGAGCAGAAGCAAGGGCGGTGCCATGCGGTGCCATGCGTTGCCCCCTCTGCAGCTTTGCAGCATGTCCTCTGCCCGAAGAGGTGCGCCCTGTGCAGCTTTGCAGCATGTCCTCTGCCCGAAGCAATATATGAGTTGCTGCTGGGTATCAACCCTGGCTCCTTCTTGAAACGAACTGCTGGCTTCGGTTTGCTTGCTAGGCGAAGGTGCATCAAAGCCAGCTTCTGCGCGGAACAGCGCGACATCTAAAGTTGTCGGCTCAACTTGGGGCAAAATGTGAGCATGTCCCATTGAGATGGTGACCATCGGCGCGTGTATGCTTGTAGCTGAACAGCTGCAACAGAGGCTTGGCGCATCGCAAGAGCACAGTCAGCACAAACTCAGTAGGCAGAACACTTCAACGATTGCCTTCACCTATCAAAGCAACCAAGGAAAGGAAGCAACTATGGAAAGGAAGCGAGCTCGACAAAATCATCGAATCATTACATCCAACCGCAAGGCAGTCTTCGCTGGCTACAGTTAAGCGGGGCAGAGCGGAGCAGTGGGTGTCTGGGTGACCCGGTGACGGGTGGAGTTGTGGAGTGGAGTGCAAGTTCCGTGGGTTAGAGTGGAATGGAGCGGAGTGGAGTGGTGCGGAATGTGAGGAAGCGGGGTAAAAATAAAATAAGAATTCCAAACAATGAAGTGGGGAATGCACCCCTTGTTCATAATTCACATCCCGACAAAACGAATGGACCAGGTTGAGACTTGTTGCAGGGCCCGCAAAGCATCAGGGCATGAAATGGGTTACAAACCCCCTTTTGGAAAAAAAGCCCACCCCCAGCCGGCAACAATGAAAAACGGACTGGCTGGCTTGGCGCGCCTTGTCACAAGCTGAATGAAAGGCAAACTCGCGCAAAAAAGGATCGCTTCCTGGCTAACTGACACTCCATCCGCAAAAAGCCTCCGGATTTTTTGGATTCCGTTCGGCTCCCTTTCAAACCATCCTGAAGAATCGTCCATCGATTCATCGTCAGCGTAGTCACGGCCAAGAAAATTTTCCATTGCGCCCTTCCCCTCTCATCTCGCTCCATGGCCGCGCTTCGCGTCAGCACTCTGTCCGGGCGTTGACCTCACAGGCCAAAGAAAAAGAAACGGCCGTGCTTCGTTCGTGAGGCGGCTCTGAAGCCTGAGAGCTCTTCTTTCTTTCGAGAGGTGTCTCAAAGAGGGACTTGCGAGGAATCCACAAGCATTGCGAAGGGAATTGGCATACAAATACGGTGCCAACCTGTCTCTCGGCCGATTTTCTTGCATCTATTTTTAGCGGTTGGCAAAACCCTCCCAAACCTATTGCAAAGAAAGACTAGGTAGTCCATAACCCATCTCCAAATTCTAAACAAGTCTCCCTCCCGCTCAAGTCCCCGACCGGTTTGTCAGAAGACTCCTCAGCCTGGCACAAGAGCAGGAGCAAACAACTGCCAATGCAATGTAAAATGGAGAAGCCGAGCACAAATGGTCCAATCGTGCGTCGCAAGGAGTCTGTCGGAAGCATGTGCCTTCATTTTACAAGCACTGTGTGCAGTGCTGCAGACACAGTCGTAAGCTCTACACGAACAACTGAGTGGCTTGAATCCCGCAGCCAAAAGAAATCAGCAACGCACTAAAATTGGATTTGTTGCCTCTCTTGAAAACACGACCAAGTCAAAGGGATGCACGATCACCCAAGGTACAGCACGCTTTTACTAGCTGCACGCCATGTCAAGTTTAGCTTTGCCAGAACAAATTGCGGGAATTTCTAATGACGTGCGAGTGAGCGCACCAAATCGTAGCGCAATGTTGCGTCTGATCCAGCCTTCCGATCGCATGCGGCCATAGTACTCCTGGCCACAGTGATATGCACTCGCGTGGCTCTAAAATCACCCATCTGGGCGAAATGTTGCAGTGCACCAAGATGAACTGATGGAGCCCCAAGACAGGAACCCTCATATCACAGTCACAAACTACGAGGTGGCTGTGAGTCGCGGCAGACTGTCAAGCGACTCAAACACTCATCTTCTAAACAGCCATGAAAAGCTGACTTGAGCATGTCTTAAATGGGGGAACCTCCAAGCCCAAACCCTAAAAAGGGTACCCTCAAAAAGACTCACCCAAATCGGTGATGGCCTTTGAACCAGTTGCCATGGCTTCCCTTTTGCACCGTTGCTTGTAAGTCGTCGTAGTTGATCTCAGAGTCACCTGAAATGCATGTTTTGCGAAACAAAAAGAACAAAACAATTACTGCGACTTGTTTTTTTTGGAACAGTCCTTCTTTATTCCTGTGATTCAATATCAAGACCCCTGACTTCGTCCGGGTCTCTGACAGTGGCAGAAGCACCTACTCGAACGAGGGCTGCTCCAAGCAAGTACACAAAATCCATGCTACGTAAGCCCAAATGGCAGATTTTTCGCTTCCAGAATGTTACGTGAGGTCTGTTGGAACCCAACAGAGTGCAGGTGCATTGGGAACGGTCCCAAACCTGGCCATCAACATCCCTTGTGTTTTGAGGTACCTTTGGAAGGAGGTGAGAGTCTAATGATGGGTGGCACTTGTTTGCAGCACTCTGACCTCCAACTCGGCAGCATCTTCACAAGACGCAGCTTAGGCTCCAACCGATCTCGATGAGTCGTTATCTAATGTCTACCTCAAAGCTGGGCGGTTCAAAATGGAGGGTTTCCCAAGTCTAATCCAGAAATCGCTATAGGGAAGCCACTACAAAGCAAGCCGGTTCCTTGCGGAACTCAAGGCAAGGAGTACCCGTACCTTTGAACAGCCCAGGATAGCCAATGATATGATGACAGACCAGAGATACCGGAGCCTCTTTCAAGCTATGGGATGTCAGTGGTTTCCCAATTCCCCTCTACAAAAGCCAAGGGTTCCAACCCCAGACCAATCCAAACCACCAATTCGGGGGTTGCCCGATTCATGTTCCAACCTCCGGATTTGTTTGCTTCGGACAAAACAAAAGAAAGATGAAAAATAACGGCGCCCTCGGCGAACAAAACGGCGAACCAAAAAAAATGGTGGCCGGGGCCTCGTAGCGCTGCTCCTGCCAGTTCCTCAGCCACTCCTCCTCGTCGAACTCATAGTCCTCTTGCCCTGGCGGCATCCATCAGATCCAAAAGGCTTACGTGCGCCGTGGCCAATGTTGGGTCTGCCAACAGCTTGCTGGGCCGAAAATCCGGGGTCTGGGTTCGACTTCGACTTGAACATCATTTGGTGTTTGCCAGTTCTAAATACTGTATTGCCAAGACTCTCAGATTCCCAGTACTTGACTCTTGCCAGTTCTAATTTTAGTACTGCTAAGGCTTTGGCCTTTGGGCTGAGAAGACCTTAGGATGAATCACCTTGTCAAAGTGAAAGGCCAAGGGATTGATCTGGGAACTTCCCCAAGCCCCCAAGAAAGCTGGACATGAAAGCGAAGCGCGAAACAGTCATACTACCCTCCCAATGGAAGGAAGTGCACAAAGCCCCTTTCCACAGGGGTCTGTGCACTTCCATGTTGGTCGGTGGGAGGGTAAACAGAATCAGGGCCTCTTGTGGGCAACCAACCCCCTTTTAAGGGTGACCGTTTTTGTATAAGGGATTTATACAAAAATCGATGGTTTGGGGACCACTTCACAAACACAAATTCCTGATGTGTGCCTTTACTTGCCGTGTTCTTCCCCCCAGATTTGGCTTGCCCGATTGTGTGTTGCCCAGCATGTTTTCTTTTACACACTGTCTACAAAAGCGAACCTCGAAACTGTCACAAGGTTCTGACTTAGGAACAAAGCTTTGTATAAAAGCGACCCCCATTACAAAGCGGGTCCGACACTACCAAATTGCAACCTTGCAAACTGAAACATGACTCAAAAGGGCTAGGGAAAGTACGTGACACACGCACACACAACCCGTATCCACCAACTGCGAGAGCATCACCGGCGCCATTGCTGTGCTCGTGGGTACTTTTCCGAATGTAATGGAGGGCTTTCTGTATGGCGGCCGGTCGTGCTCGTACTTTTTGAAATGTCGGGTTAACGTGGTCCTACGAATACAAGGGAAAAGCTATGACTTGTGCTTGAAAACTGTGTTGGGCAGACTCGTGCTTTGACATGTGCAATCACCGTTGGTTGCTCCGTGCCCATCGATTAGTCTATGGATTCGTCCATCCTTCCAATGTGGCGCAGCTTTAAGTGCAACCCGTTTGGGTCCCTTCAACGGAACTGTGCGGTTCTGCGCATGGTGGGCAAACCATTGTGCACTTGTTGAATGTGAAGCCAATCCAGCCAATCCGAGCATTGCAACTACAAGCAAGCTTCCATTTGCTTTTGGGCCCGGACAAATTGAGTGAGAAAATCTGTCCAGTGATAGATTCCAACTTCAAAACCAAGGGGAAATGAAAGATGGTGTCCAGTGATAGATTCCAACTTCAAAACCAAGGGCAAAATGAGAGACAATGTCCAGTGATAGATTCCAACTTCAAAACCTGGAAAAATGAGGGAGGAAATATGTCCAGCAATAGATTCCAACGTCAAGACCAAGCGGAAATGAGAGAAGATGTCCAGTGATAGATTCCAACTTCAAAAACTGGAAAAATGAGAGAGAGAAGATGTCCAGTGATAGATTCCAACTTCAAAACCAAGGGGAAATTGAGAGACAATGTCCAGTGATAAATTCCAACTTCAAAACCTGGAAAAATGAGTGAGAGAAGATGTCCAGTGATAGATTCCAACTTCAAAACTTTGAAAAATGAGGGAGAAAATATGTCCAGTGATAGATGCCCACGTCGAAACCAAGGGGAAATTGAGAGACGATGTCCAGTGATAGATTCCAACTTCAAAACTTGGAAAAATGAGTGAGAGAAGATGTCCAGTGATAGATTCCAACTTCAGAAGATGTCCAGTGATAGATTCCAACTTCAAAACATGGAACAATTAGGGAGAACATATGTCCAGCGATAGATTCCAACGTCAAAATCAAGGGGAAATGAGAGAAGATGTCCAGTGATAGATTTCAAC